GGTGTGGCTCAGTGCTCACATTGGACTAGAATGGAGAGTGATGTGTAGGTGGTTAGCAAACCAACATATTGGAGGATGGGGATCAACGCAGCTTTAAAATGCAACCTGCGTGGAAAATAGTCTCTGAGAAAGGAAAATTTGTTGCTTGAGAAAAATCCAGGGTAGGTTACATATATGACAAATTATCACATTGTAAAATAATGGTATTTGGGCACAGCATGCATAACTGTTTGAATTAATAACCTAATCTCAAATATATTTTAGAAAAACTGATATTGAACATCTTTTTCAGCTTTCTGACCTAATTCCATTGGGCACTTTAATTTGTTATCAAATTCCAAAGACCTGTAGTGGTTAGCTCCATGCTAGGTAAGCTGAAGCTGACAGGGTAAAACCCTTCCTCCAGCTGCCCTGGAAGCAAGAGAATCCAGATATAGCCCTGGGTTTAAAAATGCCAAGATCAGCCGGGCGGTGGTGGCGCACGCCTTTAATCCCAGCACTCGGGAGGCAGAGGCAGGCGGATCTCTGTGAGTTCGAGGCCAGCCTGGTCTACAGAGCTAGTTCCAGGACAGGAACCAAAAGTTACGGAGAAACCCTGTCTCGAAAAATCAAAAAAAAAAAAAAAAAAAAAAAAAATGCCAAGATCATGCCTAATGGATGTGTGTTCTCTTGATAACCCTTTGCATTATCTGTGGCATCCTAAACAAAACAAAGCTGTTCCCATCCCCCCAACCATTCTGCATTGGTCTCCTTAGTTACCACATTTATCCACATTCATGGCTAGACTTACGTGATCTAACGTGTGTTTGCTGACGGTCACACACCTCCTCAGTGGACGGATGTGTAAGCCACCAGTCTTGCCCTATCACTAATTCCTGCGAGGAGATAAAAGAAATTCTGACTTGTATATTTTTAAAGTTTACTTCTTAAGATTTTCTTTAAAAACAGGAGGAGGCCTGGCAGTGGTGGTACACGTCTTTAATCCCGGCTCATGGGAAGCAGAAGAAGACAGATCTCTGTGAGTTCAAGGCCAGCCTGGTCTATGATGCAAGTTCCAGGACAGCCAGTGCTGTTACATAAAGAAACCCTGTCTCGAAAAACAAAAACAACAAAACATAAACAAAAAAAGCAGATCTCTTCTGAAGAAAGATATCTGATCTAGTGTCATGACACACATGCCTTTAGTCCTAAGACTCAGAGGCAGAGGCAGGTGGATCTCAGTGTGTTTGAAGCAGTCTGGTCTACATAATGAGTTCCAGGACAGCCAGAGCTACGCAGCGAGACTCTGTCTACAAAAAACAAACAAACAGACAGACAAAAGAATCTGAATAGTCCTTTGTGCAAAATATAAAGGTATTTCTTTTCTTTTGGAGATGAGATCATGTGACATTAGTCAGGAGGGTCCCAAATTCCTGGTCTCTTTGTTCCTCAATCTCTGTGTAGCTGAGGATCGTGCCAACTCCTTGGGCTCAAGATTTCAGCGAGCTCCTAGCACATCTCATGGACGCACACTCTCGTTTGCCACCGGGCACAGAATGGGCGCTCAACAAATTCAGTACACAGCAGACAGAAGCACACACAGCACAGTTTCCATGTGTTTTTTACGTCATCCCAGCCTCTTCCCTGTCGTCTGCTATACAACTCAATGAGAGTCTTTGTTCCCATTTGACAGGTGATTTACTATCTCACTGACAGCAAACACAGGTCAGGTCACTCATCCAAGGGCACATGGTTAGGAAGGACGTGGTCTCTGAGGAGACTTCCTCTGTTCAGCAGGGTTCCGAGAACAGAAGAGAGCTGAGGTGGCAAAGCTCAGAATGTTCTATCACCAGGGGACAGCCCAGTGGGCTGATTCCCACTGTGGACCTCCAAGGCTTCGGGCTTCAAAGGCTTGGTGTTGTTAAAGGTAATTTACAGTTGACGTCCTGTAGAAATAGTCACACTATTTCTCTGTGTATCATCCGTTCTCTTTGTTCTGGTAGTTGTGTCCACAAAATCACCACAAACTCTGAGCTAGCAAATACCAGTCTCCTATTATTAAGTTCCTATAAGCTTTGGTAAACCAGTCAGTGTATACCCTTACTTAGTGTTTGTTTGTAGAGTGTTGTTATTTTGATATGGAATCTTACTATATTGCCTTTCTGTTCTTGAACTGCTGGGCTCGAATGATCCTTCTGCCTCAGCCTCCTGGGTAACTGGGACTATCGGTATGTACCAGTGAAGCCTGTTTCTGTTTCGAGACACCTTACTTGATCTATATTGAGAACTCAAACTTGATTCCCTGTATTCCCAGCTAACATCTCAGGTCTATACAAAGCTACTCTAACACACTCTTCTACATGGTATGTCACACCTTTGCGTGTGTAAGAATATCGGATCGCAGCACTCGGGTCATCTTAAACGCTGAGAGAATCAAAACCTCACAAATGTGAAGAATAGGATGCTAAGTAGACCACAGAAAGTCAAGTCTGAGAGCCGAGGAAAGAAGGTAGAATGACCACACTCCTCACCAAGGGACCATGGCGGCAGGAAACTTCTTGCTGCTCTGAGCTGCCTTCCATGGACGGTGGGAGCCACAAGTACTGACCGAGGCTACAGATTTTTGTGATAGGAAAGCTTTACACAATCTATATAAATGAAGTCTGCAGTGCTTATGCTTCATATTTTCAACTATCTTCAATGCCATAGGTCACATACACACAGCTTATCTCCATCTAGAAGGAGAACAAGGGTGGAGACTGACCTGTTCCTGTGCCAGTCACAGGAAGGGCCACATTTCTAGGCTCGCAGCCTCGGCAGGCTGGTGTTCATCAGAGCCTCAGACTAGGCAGAAGTTCTGCTTTTGACTTCCTGAACATCTCAACTTATTTTTAAATAAGGACCCGGTAGTTTCAGCTTCAATGGATCCCACCAATTTTTTCACAACACGTGTAAACAGATAAGTAACCAGGGAGACCAATTATATTGTTTACTTATCAGATAAAATAACCTTTTTCTCAAAGAGCTAAGTTATGTGATAAATTACATGACCCTTTGTTGATGGGCAGTAGATTCTTGGTGTTAGCTCATTTAGTGTATGTGGTACTCGGAGCTGGTTATCCGCACTGACTTGTCAGGAAACGGAGACCCAGAGAAAGTGTGTGTGTGGCAGGCAGCAGAGCTAGCACCTGAACCCACACAACCAGAAGTCCATGGTTCTACCACTAGACTCTACAGCTGAGTGTTGGCTCAAATCTGTAAGTAATATAAAGGGTTAATTTTGTGATCTCGGGGAGCCGATCCCCATTTTTTCTTCTTGTGTACAGCAGCCAGAGGATAATGATACTACTAGAAGTTAGGCTGAGGTGTCAGTGGTAGAGTTTTTGTCTCAAATATGCAATTTCCAGTATCCCCCAAAAGTATCAAAAGAGATAGAACTTAGAGTTTAATTTCTGATAAATTTGTATCTTTAGTAAGAGACTATTTAATGATTAAATGAGGTATTTGAGCTAACTAGTTTTAGCTGTAATCTTGTTTGTTTAGTTTTGTGGGTTTTTTTTGTTTGTTTGTTTTGTTTTTGATTAAGGTCTCTATCATAACCCTGCCTATCCTCGAACTCGATCTGTAGACCAGGCTGGCCTTGAATTTACAGAGATGCACCTGCCTCTGTCTCCCAAGTGCTGGGATTAAAGGTGTGTGCCATTACACCCAAGCAAATTATTTTTAATAATTTTGTCATAATATTAATTGGTACTTAGAATGATCGGTTTTACTAAAGCAACTCAAATAATTTGATGTTAATTGTTCTATAGAGCATTTTAAATGCATTTAATTAAAAATTGCCAGTTCCAAATGCCAGGCCCTGCAGTCTGCATTCCCAACAGCCTAAGGTTTAGATTTTTTTTGAGAGGATTGGCTTGGCAATTTTTGAGAGTTTTTTTTTTTTCCTTACTTCTTCCATAGATGTCTAAAGAGATACATTTAAATCACTTGAATACCATCAGACTATTTTAGGTAGTTTATACATTATCATTTATATGTGTTTTTATTGCTGTTTTGTTTTTCTGAAGCAGGGACTCACTCCAGGCCAGGCTGACCCAGAACTTACTTTCAACGCTGCCTAGCTATGAACTCAGTGCAATCCTTTTACCTTAGCCTCCTAAATGCTGAGGTTACAGATATGAGCACCACACCCAGGTTCAACTGCTTCTTAATGGGCTTCTCCATTATAATTTTACTGTTCCAAACTGTGGCTGATATTGTAAAAGATACGGCTCTAAGCTCGCAGATTTCCCAAAGCAGGGAGATAAAATGGAAAAGTGCATGAGTCAGAGATGAGCCCATCTGAGACCCGTCACAGGCTGCAGTGGCAGGAAAATAACCTGAATTGCTGGGCATTGCTGGACTTGGCAGTATTCAAGGGGCAATAATGACCTGAGTTGGTTCTGTTGATGTGGGATTTCCATCTCTCTATGCTGTGAATATGTTTTATTACCATTGGTTAATAAAGAAGCTGCTTTGGCCTATGACCAGGCAGAATATAGCAAGGCAGGATATCCAAGCAGAGATAGAGGAAGAAAGAAGGCAGAGTCAGGCAGATACCATGTAGCCACCCAAGAAGCAAGAGGTAACAAACCAGAGCCTTGTGGTAAAATACAAAATAATAGAAATGGGTGAATTTAATATGGAAGACTTAGTTAATAAAAAGCTTGAGCTAATAGACCAAAGATTATGCAATTAATATTAAGCATCAGAATGGTTATTGCATAAGTGGATGCAGCAGCCAGTGAGTGGACCCACTGGGTGGAGAGAAAATTGGTCCAGGGGGACCAGCAGAATGGAGAGTAATTGTAGTTACACTCTGTAGCATGTTTCAAAACATGGTCTTGCAGAAGAAGAAAGTACTGGTAAATGTGGATATGACAGTGAATCTGGCTTCTGAGTTGGACAGAAAACAAGTATGCATTCTCAACGTGTTTGCAGGACGGCAAGAGTCAGCTGACCACCGGTGTCTTAACAAAATGGCATCTGTGAACAAGAGCAGCGATGTGAAAAAATCCAGAGTGAGCAAAAAGCTCCTGGAAGAGATCAACGAGAAGCGTGAGTCCTACTGTCTGGTGGAGAGGAGTAATCGAGTCAGCTTACTGCGAGTCCAGAAGCGACACTTCAGCCAGGCCTACCAGTCCTTAGCCAGTGTGCACGTCAAAGAGTCTGTTCCTGAAAGCAGCAGGACCTCCTGGGTCAAAGCGCCTCTCTTTGTTCACAAGGAGAGAAAGCACTTCACACCCAAAAGTAAGATAGTCTGGTGGGACTCCGCCCAACCTGCTGGAGGGATCAATACTGAGACTCGGTGGAACTTCTGGTTAAAAGAGGTTCCAGGGATTGTCCTGGGAGTCTCTGAAGGTGATGGATCTGAAGGCAAAACAGATTATCAGGTGTAAGACCCACCACAGACCAGAGAGTCACTTTCTTGTGTCTGTAGGACCCCAGACCCCACCACGGCCAGTTCGCTCTGTGGTTTGGTGTTTGGGCCTTGCAGTCTGCATTCCCAGCAGACCCATGTGGCTCTTAACTACGGATGGCTGGCGTAACAGCCACATTTTGAGAAAAGTTGCAATCCCTTCAGAGACCTCCTGTGCCACCAATTTCTGTTGTCTACAGAATTTTACGTTCAAAATTGAAGTAAAATGGAGTTTTATTAATAAATGTGACATACAATGCCATAAGAAGCGGTCATAAACCTATGGTAGGAAGCTGGGTGGGGGACTATTTTATTATTGTTAAAAATGGGAATTGTGATTCTGTTGTGTAGTCAAGGCAGGCAACTGGCAATGTTTTCTCATTTATTTGGAGAAAGTGTGCATACATATATATTCAATATAGCCAATACATTATTAATTTGGTTCACAAAGAATGGTCCCCATTAGCCATTTGTGACCATGACTTTGCATTTTACCAGTGTACAGGGTGGTGGGACAGTGTGACATGGAAAACCCAAACACTGTGCTGTGATTCAAGGCTAATCTCCAACAAGTGTTTCTTTTCTAAAAACAAACAAAACTCAATCATCTTTACAAAAGAATGTCTTGGCATTCCTAATGATAAAAGTACAGTTCTTCATTCTGCTGGAATTGCCCAGAACAACAATGTGTGGTTCTCACTTTGGTGGTGGAGAGAAAATCCACCTCTTAGAGGAACATGCATGATTTCATACAACAGAGTCTGACACACCTGGTCCCACCACGCATGATTTCATACAACAGAGTCTGACACATCTGGTCCCACCACGCGTGATTTCACACAACAGAGTCTGACACATCTGGTCCCACCACGCGTGATTTCACACAACAGAGTCTGACACACCTGGTCCCACCACGCGTGATTTCATACAAGAGTCTGACACACCTGGTCCCACCACGCGTGATTTCATACAACAGAGTCTGACACACCTGGTCCCACCACGCGTGATTTCATACAACACAGAGTCTGACACATCTGGTCCCACCACGCGTGATTTCACACAACAGAGTCTGACACATCTGGTCCCACCACGCGTGATTTCATACAATACAGAGTCACACATCTGGTCCCACCACGCGTGATTTCATACAACAGAGTCTGACACACCTGGTCCCACCACGCGTGATTTCATACAATACAGAGTCTGACACATCTGGTCCCACCACGCGTGATTTCATACAATACAGAGTCTGACACATCTGGTCCCACCACGCGTGATTTCATACAATACAGAGTCACACATCTGGTCCCACCACGTGTGATATCATACAACAGAGTCTGACACATCTGGTCCCACCACGCGTGATTTCACACAACAGAGTCACACATCTGGTCCCACCACGCGTGATTTCATACAATACAGAGTCACACATCTGGTCCCACCACGCGTGATATCATACAACAGAGTCTGACACATCTGGTCCCACCACGCGTGATTTCACACAACAGAGTCACACATCTGGTCCCACCACGCGTGATTTCATACAATACAGAGTCACACATTTCATCCCGCAACTTTCATGTGAGAACCGAAAACTAATAACCGCCAAACATTAACTCTTTCATATTTAGAAATTGCTTTGAGTTTTGATCAACTGAGAAATGGGATGGAGATAAAATGTTGGCTTATTGAGAAAACAGACCTTTACTGAAGAAGCTCACTAAAAAGAAGTCAAGTGGCCATTCCCAGAGCGGAACTTGAGGTCTGCTGCTCTCGGTTGAGAGAGGGGCAAATGAGAGAGAGAGAGAGAGAGCCTGGGGGGCAGCAGGTGCAGAGAAAATCATTTGCTAAATCAGGACCTGGGACTATGGTTTGCTAAAGGTATTAATTTGGTAGGTTTCAGCAAATACTAAGTTATACACATCACTTGCTACATAGTGAGAGCCTCTGTTTGGAAGACAGTGCTCTCCATCATGAGTGTTGAAGGGTGAGGGGGGACAAGGCTGGCCCTGTGGTCCTCTCAGGGACCTCTCATGCAAGCAGCTGGCAGACTGTGTGAGTTACTTTCTGTCACTGTGATAGGACACTGTCACCAAGGCAGCCTATAGAAGGAAGTGCTCACTGTGGGTTACAGCTCCAGAGGGTGAGAGTCCATATGTCAGGTGGAGGCGGCAGGCAAGGAGCAGGATGCCGAGAGCTTACATCTTGAACCTGGACCACAACGCTGAGCACTATCTGAAGGGAGAGTGAAGCCTTAACCTCTCAAAGCTCAATCCCAGGGACACACTTCTTCCGGCAAGACCACATCCCCTAAACGTCCCCAGACAGCACCGTGAACATGTTCCAACGCATGAGCCTGTGGGCACATTCCCATTCAAACCACTGCCAGAGGCCCTCCGTTCAGTCTCTTTTCTGATAACCCGTATCTTCATTTCTGACCTCTCTGGCCTTCAGCTATGGATGCTGTCCATCCTCACACTGCTGCTCTACGTGAGGTCAGTTTAATACTAAACTGCAGTTTAGTATTGCTGAGACAAACTCCTGTGATCACCAGCCTTACCTTCTCATCTGGGAAAGCTGCCAGAGTGGAGCTCTGCCCTCATGCTCAGTGTGTGAGCGAGTCCTGTCTGTCTCCTCTCCAGAATCAATGCTGAATCTGAACCCTGCCAGCACGCTGGCCCTCTGGCTACCCAGCTTGCACCCTTTCTGCTCCCACATTTACTTCCCAGGACAGCCCGAGCGAACTGTTTAGAACGGGCCACCTGCTGCATACAACTCCTGTGTTCCCTACCACGCTGAGGATAAAATCCGCTCCCTCCCCTCCCGTGCCGCCTGACTCTCCCAAACAGTCCCAGGTGCACATCTCCCTGCTCACCTGGTATCTTCGCTTTGCTTTTTTCCTCTTCTGGGACATGCCGAGCTGGCTCCCGCCTCAGGGACTTGGCACAAGCTCCTCTTCCTGCCTTTCTGTCTCTGTCTATCTCTCTCTATGTGTGCATGTGTGTGTGTGTCTCTCTCTTTCTGTGTGTATGTGTGCATGTATGTGTGTTTGTCCCTCTGTGTGTGTACATGTGTGTCTATCTGTCTCTCTGTGTATGTGTGTGTCCACTGTTAATCCCAGCATGAGAATAAAGAAGTGAAAACTCTGCCCTTCAGGTTATTCTAAAAACTGCAATAGATTAGATTACTGAAATGTATCTTTTTGATGTTTTGCTAGGCTAGCCTTTAGTGGTTGAGCCATCTCACTAGCCCAATAAATGTATTTTTTTATCTTTCAGATAATGCCATATTTGGATAAAGTACATGTCGTCCAGAGACACACAAATAAATTCTCTTCCATCAATCTTCAATGTCTGTGAATTACTTAGAAATACTAACTATAAAAGAAACTGACCTGGTGTCAGGAGGACAGTGAATTTCAGGCCAGCCGGGGTCATATCTCAGGTCCTTGTCCCTGAAAGGGCTGGAGACAGGTAACAAAATAAGACTAGAGCTAACCTTTCCCTTCCCAACGTAAATGGCTGGTTTCAAGAACCCTGAGCCTGGGTACTGACAGAAGAGATGAAACTCTTGGTTCACAGCAAGACAACTCTGGCTCTAGCTAATTCTCTGGCCCCCAGCCCACTGCCTCAGGACCCTCAGGGCTAGGCAAAGCTCCAGGTAGAGACAGGTTTGGGTTGCACAGTAGAGGATCCCGCTGAGCATAAACAGCCCGGCCTTTGCCGATAAGGAGACTTTATCTTTATTGTACCAGGTAACGAGGCCTACCTCAGGTCCAGAGGGAGACCTTATCTCTGTCTTCTGAGGTGATCACCTGGTACCAAGACTATCAGAGCCTCTGTTCCCTGCCTGGACAGGAACGAGAGGCCAAACCTACAGTTTGTACCCTAAGCAGCCCCATTAGAGATGACAAGGCTCAATATTCTTTAGGCGCCAGCACAGAGCCATGAATGCCAGGTTACACACAGCCTCCCTTCCCTGGCCCCATCCCGCCTCTCCTGTAGGTGTGGCTCTGCTTTCTTAGAACTGGCTGCAATTCTCTGGCTCCCTCGCCTTCCTGTGGTTTAAATCCTACCTCCTTCCTAATACCTTCCTTCAGCCCTTCCCATTACATACTTCTACTTTGCCCTGTGTACCCTATAGCAGTCTTGAGGTAAAGCCAGAAACTCAGAAGTAGTTGTATTTGAACTCTGACCCTACCTGAAACAGCAGACATTCTCACCTCCCAGGAGTGCTCCCTTTAGGTCAGTGTTCCCGCAGTCAGCATGTGGTAACAGGCGTTTCTTTTCTGCCCTGGCTTCCTGTAGGCCCTCAGTTCAGCCTACTAACGTGTACGCAGGATTCCTGCTGCTTCCCCAGTTCTCTGGGATGAACATTAGTGGTGCAGCATGGACAGCGGGAACTTCCTCTCTAAGCTCCGACAGACTTACGTGTCCTTTCTCAGCACCGCAGTGTGCTCAGAGAGACGAGATGGCAGAGCCAGAGGCCAAACAAAACCAACCAGACAGTGACCAGCTAAGGAGGCCCCTGGACAAGAAGGGCCCAGGTCAATCCAAGGCCTGGGTTGATTCCTCAGCATGAATGGGCTGTGTGAGGATACTCAGACATAAAAGCCCTTACTCGTTTGTACTTTTCCTTGAGTAGAAGAGACTCCACTCAGGAGCAGAGACCAGAGAATATGCACATTTCTCTTAGAGATTTTGCTGAATTTTGGAATTATAACCCCCTTTGTAGGCTCTTCCTTCTTCCAGGAGCCTGTGAGACCAGTTACAGAGCAGTCTGGACTTCAACCGTTGTTCCAGGACACATCTTTAATCTCAGCACTCAGCAGGCAGGGGCAGACGAATGTCTGTTAGTTCAAGGCCAGCCTGAGTGGTGTACGTAGTGAGTTTCAGGCTTGCTAGGCTTTCAGGGGGTTGGGGATGGGGGACAGAAATGAAAAACAATTTGCTGTGGCCACATTGGGAGGAAGTCAAGAGGCCATCATCAGGATACGTGCATGGGGTTTAGATTTAAACAGAGGGGGCGTGTATGTCTAAGTCATCCTGGTCAAGAGGTACTGTCAGCCATGGTTGGCACATCAGTGTCCAGGTTCTGATCTGTCCCAGAAGGCGAACTGCTAAGTTGTCAGACCTGTATAATCTCTTCTTGCCAGACAAGTTCCTCCTTCAGCTGGCACCAGATTAAAGTCTCTTTTCTATAAGCTTGTGATTTCTGGGGAAATTCTAGTTCCTTGTTTTAATTTCTGACAGCCAACCAAAAGGAGAAAGCAAAAGTGTCTCTAGAATAACGAAAGGTCTTGAATGGGGGTTCCCGGGGACACTGTGACAGACCGGTGCTGTTAATAAAAGGGGTATTAATGTTAGAATAACGAAAGGTCTTGAATGGGGGTTCCCAGGGACCCTGGGACAGACAGGTGCTGTTAATAAAAGGGGTATTAATGTCAGGACAGACAACAACATGGCAGGGATTCTGAGGAAAGTTCAGATAACATGGTGGGGGCTCTGAAGGAGGAACTGGGACCCGCAGAAGTGGAGGTTTCACAGTACAAGCCCGTAGTCAGGCTCCGATTCACAGGCAGGAGGCAGGGGAGGGTGGGGAGCAGGATGAGTGGCTACCAATACCCTTTGATGTAAACTCACTCCCCCAGATGAGAAGTCCTGAGACTTGGAAGCATGTTACCTAGAGGTTCACGGTGTTCTCTGCGGGATGCCTGTCAGCAACCTGTGAGAACGACTGCCACAGGCACTGTGACCAAGCAGCAGATGAAGTAAACATTACAGTCTTAAAAATATCTTCACCCAGATGCCAGATTAGTACCATATCACAATGGCTACCATCACCCCATTCCAGCCCATCATCCTGGGCCGAATCATGGTGCCCTAACTTCAGTGCTTAAGCACAGATGACAGGCTTCCCGACTCCAGGATCAATTAACAGGTGTATGCACAGGCTGGGTCAGTCTCTTTTCTCCATCAACAGCCTGCATCACAGAGGCCTGCTCACATCCCCGAAGGTAAGCTTTTCCTACTAGCCAGGTGCTGCGGTGTGGGGCTCAGGTGCAGCTGCTTGGGAAGCTGGGTCAGCCTAGGCCACACAGTGAAGCTTGTCTCTTTAAAGGGGTGGGTATCTCAGGGTTCTCACAGCTGCTCTTTCTTCTGGAAAAGGCCCCCTTCCCTGCACAACTCAGACCTGGTTCCCTCCTGCGTGGGCGCCTCGGCTAGGAATCACGCCAGAGGCACACTGGCCACATCTGAAGTGTATCGAATTCTCCATGCACACGCTAATTATTACATATTCAAAGTAAAAAATCCATGGATTCTCTATAAGCTTATTGTTAAGCGGGGGAAAGTGGGTTGGGGCTCCTTGAGGCTTTCTCCCGTTAAGTGGGCACTCAGTCCAGAAGTCAGTGTGTCTGTGGGGTTTCCCCGTCGACTCCGGGATCAGCGGATTGAAAGCTGGAACCCAGAGTTGCAGTAGCCAAGCCAAACTCCTCTATTTTTTAAAAAAACAGTTTTAAGAAATTATTATTTTATTTATGTTTATGTGTGCCTGTTTAGGGGTATGCCACATATGTGCTAGTGGCAGAGGAGGCCAGAAGAGGGGGTTGCATTTTCTGGAGTTGGATGGAGTTGCAGGCAGTTGTAAGCCACCCAGTGTGGGTGCAGGGAACTGCAGGTGTCCTCTCTTCCAGAGCGCACCTAATGGTTGAGCCATCTCTCCAGCCCACAGTTTGTTTCTAAGAGAAACATTTCTGTAAAACTATGACTGCTGCCCACATAAAGTGGCTTCTTCACTTGGGACCATTCAAGCAAACACTTGTCCCCCAGTGCTGTCCTGAGCTGACCTGGCCGTGGGTGGGAGGTTTCGAAGCTATTTCTGGAGTAGGTACTGAAGCTTGGGAAACAGTTTGAAGGCGTTCTGTGTCGTCACTTCTTGAACTTCTTCCACTGAGATCCCTTTCACCTGGGCAATGAATTCTGCTGAGATGGAAATGTTGCAGGGCTCATTCCGTGTCTGAGAGAGAACAAAGTGGAACACTCAGTGTCTACAGATCCTGGAGACTGTAGCAGGACACACACACATGAGAACGAGCAGGTCAAACACCTGGTGACACCTTTGCTACTCCGAAGAAACCAACATTTCTTTATTAATGCTTTTTAAATGGGGGAATGAGTTTGGCAGGGTGTGCTACATGCTGGCTCCACCTATGCTGTTCAGGAGAGATCCTAGCGATATCTGCAGTGCAGCCCTGAGCCCCCAGTGTGTAAAGCAGTCTACCATCCGGCAAGGGCAGCTTGTCTCAAGGTTAGCTGGCCTTTGTGCTTTTGCAAACACAAGTGCTGGGAAATGTCACTGCACTCTCCTTGGCCTCTCCCTTCACAGGCTACCTGCCCAGTATGATTTAAAATGCCCAAGGACTGGAAAGACTGCTCGATTAGGTTCCGCCATCTGACTGACTGACTCTTAATACCCGTGAAATAAATAGGCATTTTGCTTAGTGATCCTCTCCAGAAAAAACAGTATTTCTGCAAGCAATCGCATCTAGACTTAGTGAAAAACATTCCTATAATTATTAATACGTGAATACTTGGGATAATAACTAGAGGAATATATATCTATACACACACATACACCTGTATATGAATAGAAGGATCTGGAAGGACAAGAGACCTTAAACCTAGAGATTTTTTCACAAATAAGGCTTCATTCCCTTCCTGGAATGTCTCATTTAACATCTCAGGCTACACAAATCCTGTCTTGGAAAAACAAACCAGTACTTAAGAGGCAGAGGTGGGCAGATTTCTGTGAGCTTGAGGCCAGCCTGGTCTACACAGTGAGTTCCAGGACAGCCTGGACAATATAACAAAGACTGTTCATTTACTGCCAGGTACTTTCATATAAATTTCTTCATGTAAACCTTATAAAATATTTTACTTGTTTACCCATGTTTATAACTGAAAAGTCAGGCAGACATAGTGGTACATACCAATAATCCAGTTCTTAGGAATCAAACATAAAGGAGCTGGAGGCCAGGCTCAGCTATATAGTGTGAGTCTGAGGCCAGCCTGTATTATATATGTCTCAGTTTCAATGAAAGAATGGATGAACGGATGGATAAACAAACAGGTAAATATAGCTTTGGAGAAATGAAGTAGCTTTTCCAGTCAGGCAATCACGTCCTGAACTGTCATGGAGGAGCTGAATGGAAGTCTCGATAGCTCCAGACATGTCTAGACACTCTATTACACAACTGAAAGCACTGAAAGCAAGCTTCTTGTCAAACGATATTCTCTGAACCAGAGCAGTATTCAGAAGAGACTCTCCAGCCGGGCGGTGGTGCACACTTTTACCCCCAGTGCCAGGAAGCAGAGGCAGGCAGATTTCAGTGAGTTCGAGGCCAGCCTGGTCTACAAAGTGATTTCCAGGACAGTCAGGACTGTTACATAGAGAAACCTTGTCTTGAAAAGCCAAAACCAAACCACACCGAAAAAAACTCTTCATGGTCTCAAATTAGTATCCGCGTATCAGAGCGAGTCCCCGCTAAGCCAGCACGGCCCTGTACCCATAGGAAGCATCTGTACCCATAAACCAGAGGTCCACTTACCAGTTTTTCTGGTCCCAGTGCAGGGGAGTCTGTCTCTAAGCAGATAGAGCTTAAAGGCAGCTGTTTCACAAGCTTCTGCTTCTTAGAGAGAAGAGAGAGCGAGCTTTAAACGGGGGATGGGACAGCATTAACTTACAGGTGGACAAGTCTTGGCCTGCAGGGCTCTAACACCCACTGTTACTGCTAAGTCGCCGTGCTATCTGGACAGCTACCATGCTCTCAGCGTTCTACTTCAGATAAGAATAGTTAGTCTGGCAGTGGTGGTGCACACCTTTGATACCAGCATGTGGGGTGGGTGCAGAGGCAGGTGGATCTTTGGTAAGCTGGAAGTGGCCATCCTGGTCTACAGAGAGAGTTCCAGGGCAGAGAAACCATGTCTCAAAAAAAATATTGCATAAAATTACAAAAATTATTCAAAGTTTTCTTTAGAGAAGTACCTACTTAACCCCTTTCATGCACCAGACAGTGATGGACACCTTTAATCCCAGCACTCAGGAGGCAGAGGCAGGCAGATCTCTGACTTTGAGGCTAGCCTGGTATGCAGATGAAATTCCAGGACAGCCAAGGCTATACAGCACCCTTTCTGGCTTTGTGGTCAGGCCCAGTTCTTACCACTGAAATGTAACAGCACTTACATGTCCTGGACACCACAGCCTCACTGGACACAATTTGGAAGTAGTTTTTCCTCCTGTGCGTTCTCTTTTCATTTTATTGATAGTATATTTTGAAATATAATAGTCTTATTTTCTTTTTCTGTAGAAATTTAGTATTTTAATGATGCCTAATTTCACCATTTTTTCTTTGATCACTTGTGGTTTTGGTGTTATCTCTAGGAAACCACTGTTTAATTCAGGATCAAAAAGTCCAGAGTTTAAAAACATTGGCTCTTGCTGGGCAGTGGTGGTGCACGCCTTTAATCCCAGCACTAGGCAGGCAGAGGTGGGCGGATCTCTGTGAGTTTGAGACCAGCCTGATTTACAAAGCAAATTCCAGGACAACCAGGCCTGTTACACAGAGAACCCTGTCTTGAAAAACAAAAACAAGAACAACAATAACAAAAATACTGGCTCTTACATTTAGGTCTTGATTCATTTTTTTAAAAGATTGATTTTATTTGTGTGTGTATAGGGGGGAAGAGACAGAGAGAGAGACAGAGCTTGTGCGTATGTACACAGAAGAGGGTCTCAGTTTATCTGAAGCTGAGTTACAGTTGGTTTTAAGCTATCTGACATGGGTGCTGGGGACAGAATTCAAGTCCTCTGACTCTTTTTGCTATTTTAACTTTGAGGCAGGGTCTCACCATGTAGCTCTAGCTCTCTTATATAACTTGCTATGTAGACCAGGTTGGCCTCGAACTCAGAGATCTGCCTGCCCCTGCCTCAGTAGTGTTGGAATTACAGGTGTGCCACCGTGTCCAGCATCAGAGCAGCGCTCTTTCCTACTGAGCCGTCTCTCCAGTCCCTCTCAGTTCCTTCTGTTTTGTTTTGTCTTGTTTTGTTTTTTGAGACAGCGTCCTAGCTTTGGAGCCTAGCACTCGCTCTGTAGGCCAGGCTGGCTTCAAACTCACAAAGATCTGCCTGCCTCTGCCTCCTGAGTGCTGGAATTAAAGGTGTGCGCCACCACTGCCCAGCCTCAGATCCTTTGCTGTTTTGGTAGAGAGTTAGATTAACTTTGAAATAGAAGCATCACCAGTTTGTCCCAAAGCTTAGGTTTTAACTGTGTCACATGTGTTCAGCGAGTCACAATGAAAGGCCTTTACCTGCCCACTTCTTACGATGGACGGTGGGATCGAGAAGTAGTAACCTGCCCTTACTCCTTCCATGGCTACCGATGGCCGACCATCAAAGGCATGCAGTAGGACCTGTTCAGCACCTTTCAAATGAAAGAGAAATCAGAGTTCCATTACAGAGGGTTTGTCCCATAACAAAGGGTTTTCCCATTAGTGAAATTAAACAGATCTGAATTTTCAGTAAATATTTATCAACATGATATAAAGATCAGATTCTGCAACCTCTGAAGTTTCAATAAACATACAGTGTTCAAAGGGGGGGGGGGAAATATGTTTTTAATCTTCAGAATAAAATGGATAACATTGAAATGCAATTTTTAAAAACAATCATCAGAACTATCTACACTAGATCTTCCTATACATCTATGAATTGTCAAATTATTGGTTCTAATAGGAGGGTTTTAGGTAAACTGTTTTCCTAACAGACATGCTGGTAGAAAAAAATGGACTCACAAGTCAAACAGACCTTGCTCATAAAACCAATCCCTGTTCTTTTTGTACTTGTGTTGTGGTGTGTGTATGCATGTGTGTCGCTGAGGACTAAATCCAGACTCTTACTCATACCAGGCAATCCCCCTAGCACTAAGGTACATTCTTCCACACAAACTGCAGCCCTTAAAGGGGAGTTGTTCAGCCTGGATAAATCATGTGTTTGGTAACTCCAGAAGGCCTCCGTACTCATTGCTGACGAATTTATCAGCGACCACACCTGGATAAAACATGTGTTTGGTGACTCCAGAGGCCTCCGCGCTCATTGCCGATGAATTCATCAGCGACCTCACCTCTACTGGCTGGTAGCTCCGTTACTTCAGTAGCTGTTTTTTCAAGTAGTGTGAATCTTCATTATGATCATAAAAATGTTGTGAAATTTGATAGGTCATAATCAACCAATGTGGCTTTTTTTTGTATATACACAACTGTAGACTAAACACACTTGTATACATACACATACATGTACTGTTAAATGTCTGATAGGTTTTTTACGCAAATAGGAGTCTAAAAGCAAGTTGTATTTCTTATTGCGGATGGCATTTTAAACTTCAGAGAAGAATGCTGTAAGCTATGTTTGTGTCCGGGAAAGTCACACGAGGGCCACCGTCTGCACAGTACTGCTTCCTGTTGTCAGTCACTTATTATTTCATATATTTATTATATGTGCCTGTGCAAGCACCCGTGTGCCATGGCAGAAGTCAGATGACAACTGAACTCTGGTCAACAGGGTTGTGACAGCCTCTCTATTACATGGCCCCAAAAGGAACAGACAGAAAACGTGTAAAAGAACACAGTAATCAATAAGACAGTCTTTTTCCTTAGTTTCTCTTTCTTATCAGAGCCAGGGGCTGGAGAGATGGCTACGTGGTCAAGAGCACTTGCTGATTTTGCAGAGGACCTGGGTTTGGTTCCCAAAACCCACATGGCACACCTGTCTGTAACTCTCACTCCAGGGGACCTGATGACCTCTTCAGGCGACTGAGGACACTTGGCACACATGCAGCGAACACACATACACGCAGGCAAAACACTCATACACATAAAAGAAAAACAAATAAATCTAAAAGAAAAATAAAAAATTGGAGCTTCAAGCCTCCATTTGTTAGAGTCGAGCCTGATAAATACATAATTGCACAAAACAACCTTGTAAATATTAGCCTGGCATATAAACTCATCCTAGTGGGACTCCCTCTCTCCTCTTGATGCATTCTCTTCTCTTTAAGGAATCAGATGGAACACACTTGCTCCTTCCACCCTCAGCTGGAATTGCGAATGTGAGAAGTAGGAACACAAGTACCTTGTTCACGTAAGAGGTTGATGGTGGGCCTTCCTGCTGAGCGGGAGTGCACGTTTCTGTTTGACAACAGCAAAATTCTTTTGAAGTCTTTTAAATAGGAAAGTACTGTTCTTATTGTTTTAAAAATAATGAGGAGGCTGCAGAGACGGCTCAGCTACTCTTGCAGAGGACAAGGTTTGGGTCCCAGCACCCACATGGCAACAGCTGGTATAACTGTAACCCCAGTCCCGGGGGGGTCCAGTGCCCTTTGCTGGCCTCCACAGGCACTGTGCACACGGTCCACAGACATACATGCAGGCCAACACCCTGAGATAACTCAGATGAAAGGAGATACAGAACTCATTTTAAGAGGCCCAGCTGTTAGGGAATTTGCCCTGCAGTTCTGAGCAGAAGGCAGTTCACCTACAAAGGCACATTCAGTCTTCTGGCCAACTGGACCTGTCTGATCAGGACCTGCCTCTGTTCTTCCTTCTCTTCATCAGTGCCTGCAAATTTGGGGGTGAAGTCTAGCCCCACCTGTAACAGAAAGACAGAAGATAACCGCATCTCCATGAGCCCGAAAAGACTATTATTGGTCAGCACACAGACCATGTACACTACACAGCAGCCACATTAAAATATTAGCCACAGTGATATAATTAACTTAAAAGTATACTTGACGTACCCCAACGTCTAAGTTGTTTTATATTCCTCTAGTGGGGTACTCCAACTCTAAGACTCATTGTGTATGTCACACACCTCAGTTTGGTGCTGTAACACTGCTAGTATTCCAAAGTCACACATGGTCACTGCGCTGGGCAGCACAGACTACTGGTAACCACCTCCTACTGATGCTACCTGGGCATATATTCTATGACGTCTACTCAGAAAGCATTTTCTTATCTTCTATATTAGTAGGAAGTAGTATTTTTTTTACTGTGATAAAAATTCTTTCCCATTATTAATAGTTTAAGTAACATGGTCTTTCACTACATACTCAAGATTAAAGTATGCCTTATGAAGGCTGGTTGTTGTTTTGCTTTTTTGACACAGGGTTTCTCTGTATAACCACCTGGCAGCCTTGGAACTCACTCTGTAGATCAGGCTGGCCCTTAACTCACAGAGATCTGCCTGTCTCTGCCTCTCCAGTGCTGGGATTAAAGGCATGTGCCACCACCGCTGTTGTTGGGCGGAGGGACACATGGATGCCAAGGCGCACATGTGAGGTCAGAGGTCAGCTTTCAGGAGTCAGTTATCTCCTCCCCATGTGGGTTTAGATCCCCAAGCTTGTTGGCGAAGGCTTCCACCTGCTGGACCATTTCACTGGCCCTCCCTCTACAGACTGTGTTAGCTTCTTAGAGCGATGGCCACACTTGAGCAAAAGTAAAGTCTTTAGAAATATTGTTTCATCATTTTCTCCTGTTAAAGTAAGTCTAGAGTAAGGCTTTCTATTGCTTCATTCCCAATAGTACCAAGTTATTAGCATACAGAATGGGGTGAAAATAACTATCCAAGTTGGCTATAATCACTAGTATTGGTTACTGCATCTATCCCATGGAGATCCAGATTAGACACCATTTGATCAGCAAAGGGCTTTACCTCTCCAATTGCCAACAACCGATCCTTGTATTTCTCAATAATAGGCAAAGCTGCATCCAAATCCTGCGAGGAAAAGAAATGCATTAATGCCGAGAGTAGGACTAATAGTTCCTCGTTTTGGACTATGTGCCAGGTTCTATGCCACATGATACTGCACACAAGTGAATCCGTTTAACCAACCTATGACACAGGAATCATCCTCTCTACCACGTCAGCAACTCTAACCACATAGGTTCTGGTTGCAGGCCCACAAAAGTTCCACCTACAACTGGCCTTCTGTTAGGAGATGTTTCCTCACAGGCTTGGAGGAACCTGGAGAGGAAGCTGATTAAGTTCCTGGAGGGGGTGAGAAGACGTGGGTGGTCGTCACACACATGGCTCTGCCCCCTCCTAAGCAGTGGTCTCAGTTTATAATAGTGGTAGTTCCATATTTTTCCCTTTGTTCTTTTTTTCATTGATTTGTCTTTGTAATCCTGCTTGTTCTAACTGTAAGGTGAGTTCATCAAGATAAACGATGCATGTCACATATAATCTTGTCAGGGGACTACTGAAGTAGTCGCAGACCCTTAATATCAGCGGTACTGCCTTTTGCATTCAAGAGAATCTGACCTATGATGGTGTCCTTCTAAGGCAAAGACAAAATTTAGAAATCACTTGTAGATAATTTTCAAAAGATTGGCTTAGTGTGTGTGTGTGTGTGTGTGTGTGTGTGTGTGTGTGCCTGTCTCAGTGAGTTACATGCACCATGTGTGTGCAAATGCCTGAGGAGGTCAGAGGGCATGGGAACTGGATACTTCAGGTGGTTGTCACCTGGATGCTGGTGTCGGGAACCCAACCTGTGATCTCTACAAGAACAGTGTGTGCTCTTAGTGCTGAGCCATCTCTTCAACTCCCTGTAGAACTCTTTAAATCACTCTGTGGATTATTTTCAGAATATGTAAACTGTAAAGGTCTTCTACTGAAGAAAATCAGAATGAGAGAACCAAGGGAAGGAGGTGAAGAGATGACAGAGGTAAAAGAGGTGTGTGCTCATAAAGAGAGGGAGGCGGAGGCCAAGAGGAGTAAATTAAGGTCCTGGGAAGATATCAAGCAGACTTGGTCAAGAAGTATGCACACTCCCCAGGAGAGCCAGAAGTGTTGGACCCCACATAGCGAACAAGCTGGTGGCAACATCTGGATGGCTGTCAGACAAGGCCCCATCCTTAGTGGGTATCCACACAATCTACCTCTGGGACCAGGGGCCCTGGAGAAGAGGGAGAAATCGCTCACTCAGAAAGTCTGATTCAGAAGGAGGCTGAAGGTCAGATGCAGCTCCTTACAGTGTGGAGTTATGAGAAAAGCAGCAAAGTCTCGCAGGGGACCCCAGTTCAAACCCAGTGAGAGTTGGGGGGTTTCTGGCAAGCCAAGTGGTAGACGCAAGACTGAGACTATATGACCTGATTCACACTACGTGCTGTCTTGGTCAGGGTTTCTGCGCTGTGGAGAGACACCATGACCACGGCAGCTCCTATATAGGAAATCATTTAACTGGGGTAGCTCACTCAGCGTTATTGTCATGGTGGGAAGCAAGGCAGCATGCTAGCAGATGTGCGGGAGAAGGAGCTCAGAGTCTCACATCTTGACTCAGAGGCAACAGGAAGCCAGCTAAAAGTCACACTGAAGGAAGCTTGAGACCTCGAAGCCCACCTCCACAATGACACACTTCCTCCATCAAGGGCTCTTCTCCAAATAGTGCCATTCCCTGTGAAGGCCATTTTCTTTCAAACCCCCACATTTATTTAATGCATACAAGTGTATTTTATGGGCTTTTATTATTTTAAATTGTGTGTATGCAGGTGCCTTCAGAGACCAGAGACACTGGGTCTCCTGGGGGTGAAGTTACAGGTGGTTATAAGCCGCTCAGTGAGAGTGAAGGGAATCGAACCTGGGTGCTCTGCAAAGGCCTCTGTTTTCTTAGCCACTGAGATGTCTCCCTGGCCCCTGGACTGTAGTAATAGGAGCGGCGGGGCTGCGTCCCCAGCTCCCCGGCCGCCTGGCTAGCTTATACCCCGAAATAATTACAGGGACACTGTATTCTTTTAAACTCTGCTTGGCCCATTATATCTAGCCTCTTCTCGGCTAACTCTCGCACCTGGACTAGCCCATTTCCAATCATGTATGTAGCACCCCAAGGTGCGTTTACCAGGAAGATTCTAGCCTATGTCCATCCTGGGTAGGAGCTGAATCGTGTCTGCCCGGGAGAGGGCAGCATGGCGTCTCTGCTCCAGAGAGCAGAGCTGTCGAGTCTGAGCTCACTTCCTCTTCCTCCCAGCATTCTGTTCTGTTTACTCCTCCCACCTATGTTTTAACCTATGTTTTAACCTAAGTTTCTTTATTGCTTAACCAATGAAATCAACAGATTGATATATGACACTCCCACATCACTGGACTTCCACTATTTTAGCTGGGCATTGAACCTAGGACTCCATACATGGTGGGCAAGTCCCCTTCCACTGAGTTAGAATTCATCCATCTTTGTGTTTTCTCAGTTTAAGGTAGTCTTACTTAAAGACAAGGTCTCTCCCTGGGACCTGGGTCTCAGATGTTGCCCTGTCTCCACCTCCCCAGCACAAGAAGACAGGTGTGTGCCATCAGCCATGGTTATCTTACATGTGTCCAAGAGTCAATCTCAGGTCCTCACACCTGTGCAGCAAGCGGCTCTACTGACCGAGCCACTTCCCCAGCCCTCTATCACTTTTTAATGGACAAGCAGCATGACATGGTTAAAAAATATGAAAAAAAAAGGAATCCTTAATCCCACTGTATCATCATGTCATAGAATCTTGACTTGATGGAAGGTGCTGTTTCTTGGGGGGGAGGGGGTTGGGGTTGTTTTGTTTCATTTTGTTTTTTGAGATAGGGCTTCTCTGTGGAAAAGCCCTAGCTCTCCTGGAATTTGCTCTTATAGACCAGGCTGGCCTTAAATTCACAGAGATCCACCTACCTCTCTGCCTCCCAAGTGCTGGGATTAAAGGTGTGTGCCACCACCACTGGCTCTTGTGGGATTATTAATACAAATCAGGAGGCTGAACCAGGAGATCATGAGTTCAAGGTCAGGCTGGGCAATTCAGGGCAACCCTGTCTCAGAATAAAAATTGTAGCTGAGGTTACAGCTCAGTGAGAGAATGCTTGCCTGGAACACCTGAGGCCCTCAGTCTAACCCCTGGCACTCCCCTCCCACATCACAAAGCCTATAAATTAGAGAGTGGTGTGGGGGTGGCCACCGAGACAGCAGTGACAATTTTTATGGCTCTTACATTTTACATGACTTTTACCTTTAATGTCACACTTCTTGATTTTTCTGGTGAAAGTTCTTGAACTGGGTGGACTCCCAGACATGGCAGGATGAATCCAGGGTATCTAAAAATGTAGAACAAGTTAAGGAAGCAAGAGTAGGCCAGGAGACCACAGTGTCTCTCTGAGGACAGAAAGGAAGTGCTCTGCTTTCGGGCTATCGTCGCATGCCCTTTCCTCCCTGATCTTTCTATTTCCCTTGAGACAGAGTCTCCCTGTGCAGCACTGGCTGGCCTGGAACTCACCATGTAGACCAGACTGGGCTAACCTCACAGGGATTCTCCTGTCCCCGCCTCCTAAGTGTCAGGTTAAAAGCATATGCTATCATGCCTAGCTCTCCTCGTTCTTTAAAAAAACAATTCCTTGATATTATTTAAATTGGACATAACTATCTTTCTTAGCAACTCTTTAAAATCTTCATTGGAGCAAGTGTAGGGTGTACACTTTGGTCTCAGCACTAAGAAGGCTAAGGTGGGAAAACTGTTTGAGTTCATGAGTTCAAGACTGGCCTCGGCAGCATAAATTACAAATCTTAATTAGAAGTAGCGCCAGAGGTGGAGAGGTGGCTCAGCAGGTAAAACTTAGGGACTGGAGTTCAGCTCCAGAGCTGGGCAGGCATGGTGGCTTCCGATGACTCAGCACTTGGGAGGCAGGGGCAGGGGATCTCAGAAGCGAGCCACTCTAGTGTGAGTAGCCAGAACCAGTGAGCTCTGGGTTTAGTAAGGAACCTGACCTCAATAAATAAAGAGGAAATCTGTTAAAGAAGACACCTAATATCAACCTTGGATGCCCATATGCCCATACATTCATGCATGCACACAGATGTGAACACCACACACACACACCACACACTCACACATACCACACTCACTCACCACACACACCACACACACACTCACATACCTACTCACACGCACCACACACTCACACACACCACACTCACTCACCACACACACCATATACAACATACTCATATGCACCACACACTCACATACACATCAAGAAGAAGAAAAACAACACCTCTCTGAAAGTTGCATAATTCTTTCAAATTCTCCTGCATGTTCAGCCACTGCCACAAGGGCTATAACATTAGCCTGAAAAAAAAAGAACAGAATTCCAAACAATATGCACATTTAATATAAATTGAGGGAAATGTTAAAGTTTTTCATACATTTTATTCTTCTTCTTTACCAGGCCCCAATAATATAATCCAAATGACTATCAAAGAGTATTTATTTCAGGCCCTATGCTCAGTGAATACAAATGTCACCTCATTAACCTACACAGACCAAAGGTAGGCATTGCTTTAATTCGCTGGACAGAGACAGCATTTTGGAAGGAAATCAAGGCCCTTAGGCTCACGTGACTCTAAGGCCCATTCATCAAGTAAGCTGCTAATGACAGTGTGGAACTAATTTCATAAATACTTCCAAGATTTCATAGTTTTTTATTTTCAATTTTATTTAGCCTCTCTGTGTGTGTGACAGGCGCACGAGCATGTGCAGGCATATATAAGCCACAGAAGCACATGGAAATTGGAAGACACCTTGCTGGACTCCGTTCTGCCCTTCCACCATGGCCCCAAGGGCTGAGCTCAGAGAACTAGCTCTGCGAGTGCTTCCATCTTCTCAGCCATCTTTCCTGCCCTTGCTAACTTTTCCCTAACAAATCAAAATGTTTCAGAAGACTGTTGTACTAAATCCTGGATCTCCAAAGCAATGTGAGCTTAGGAAGTGATTAGTGGCTGTAGGAACATGTTTTCAAACCAGACTACTGTGTCTTGGCCCCGCTACTAACCTTTAGACATCAGAACCCTCATCTGTCAAATGGAGAATATATGATTATAAAAAAGCAACTTCCTCAGAAGGTGCTGAGACTTTAAACGAGCTGACGTTAGGAACGCCTTAGCTCTGTGGCTCGCATAGACCTTGGAAACATAGAACATGTCTAAACAGTACCTGGACATAATATGCCAAGCGAAACAGGACGGGAACAGAAGAGGGGCAATAATGGATGCTAACTTACCTTCTTGGCTTTCTCCAACACATCATCCAGATCCTACAAGGAACATAAACAACCATGCTTACTTTACATGAGTAGTTACTGCTCTTTGGCCATATACGCAGCTGGGACACCATAAGGGACAACACTGCCACAGGGTGGCAGAGGGTGAAATGTCTCCACAGACCGGCTTCCTGCTTTCTCTTACCCTCAGTAACATGCATTGCGCACAACAGAAACTTCTGCTGCTGAATACACAGGAAGTTCTGCCCCTCTTTACCCCTCAGCAACTTCTAGACACACACACACACACACACACACACACACACTTTGCTTTTACAGTTTCACTGTCTCGCTGGTGGCTGCTCTCCAGTCTCCTTGACTGACTGTCCTCTGTGACTTCAAGCTCTTCGGTTCTCTCTGCACCTGTAAGAGATCTCATCTGTCTTGTCTATTTATTTAGCACCCTTGGCCACGCCATGCCATTTCTCTACCACTGAGCTACATCCTCAGCCTCTCGTGGTTTTAGGTAGCACACTGAATCTCCAACTCACCTCAGTTTTTACTCTCTCCTGAACCCACAACTCACATTCTAATGCCTATATAATCTTTCCATCTGGATGAGATCAAATTTACCAATATGTCCCCACTAGGGATTCTATCTGCCTGCCTCTCCACTCCCATCCCACACCATGGTCTTCATCTCAGCAAAGGGTATCACCACCTTACAGCACAAACCAGAAACGTAAGCACATTCGAGTCCTCCTTTCCCCTTGTGCTTCACAACCAAGTCCCCGACATGTATTGTTGGAGCTATTTCTAAAATACCTTGAGTACTTTTACTCTGATACAATATCATCCTAGCTTCTACCATCTCCTGTCTGTACTGAGACTTCTTAAGAGGCCTAGCTTTCTCTCCTTTACCTTTTTGCTGTAAAGGCCAGCCATGATCATCTAAGTCTTTACTTCCTCCAACCATTATCACCTGGGACTCTGGCCATCCATGAATTTCAGTGGAGGCTGGAATCTCAGTTGTTTACCCTTAGACGAACCGGAGGAACCACAAGCTGAGATCACCCGACCCCCACCCAAGAACAGACCATTCAAAGGGAATTCCCGTTATTCCAAGCACTGTAGATTGAAACACCTGCAGCTCACAATCACCAGGAAACCCTAGATGAATGTCAGCCAATCAGGGGTCTTAAAACCTCAGAAACCCCTCACCCCCACCTTTACTACTATAAAACCCTTTTCTAATTGAGCTTGGGGCTCTCCGGTTATTCCAATACGTTGGACATGCAGGGAGACCGAGTTTGCAAACTTAATTAAAGGCTCTATGCTTTTACATACTGGACTCTTGGTTTCCTTGTGGGCTTGTTGGGGATTGCGGATTTGGGCGTAACATTTCCACAAAGCAGCAAATTTGTGTTTAGAATATTCTTTTTTTCTTTTTTTAAAATGAGTTGTCTTAAAACTTCAATGGGTGAAAAGTGCAAACTCAATGCAATCCGAATGTCTGACTAACCTACCTCTCCCATACCCTGGAAATCTCTCCAATCTTTGAAAATTCTATTAATCGCTTCCAGTTGTTGGTTAAGTAAAACAGGCTGAATTCCAAACTGTATGGGTGTCTATAACCTGCCGGCGGTCTCACACCATAAGCGTCATCTCCTAAGAGACAGACACCTGCTGCTCCTCCATCTGCAGTCTTCCCAACGTAGCAGGTAAAACCTATTTCCATCCCTACACACACGTGTTATTCTTGTTTGTCCCTCTGCCGGTCCAGAACTAGAACTTCTGCTAAGGGCGGGGACGGATCAGTACATCTCAGGAATGATAACAGAAAGGACTGTCGAAAGGACAAACACAAGCTTCGTGGAGATAGTTTGCCGCTAACTAAGATCAGAAAGAACAACCAGGACGACGACGGAGGTGCAAAGGGAAACTGGTCAGGTCGCCATAGACTAGGTAGGGTTTGAGGATTTGGGGAGAGGAAAGATAACTTTCGGGAAAGGACGCGGCCCTCCCGACTCCCGCAGGCCCCCAGCTCGCCCTCACGTACGCTGTTAAAGTCTGGGGCGGAGAGATGGCAGTGACAGTCCACTAGCCCCGAACCCACTGCCATTTCTGCAGGAAGCCGAAGGAAAAGTCTGGGGCCACAGAAGCCCAGGCGGAATCATAGGCGCCGGATTGAGTTTCCGGCCGGACGCGTACAGTGGCGTCCCACTGAGGGAAACGTCCTTCCGGTCTCAGCGTCACCGCCTCAATTCAAACCGGGGAGATGGCGGGTAATCCCGAAGCGGTGCCGGTCTCCGCCTCGCAGGATCAGGACGCCTGGACCCCCTCAGACTCCCAGGCCTCGGTGGCCGCCTCTCCCGCGGAGGACTTCCGAGTGCGCTGCACCTTGAAAAGAGCCGTGGCGGAAGTGATGGAGCAATGCGGTCGCTTTGTGCAGGAGCTCGGGGCCGCGCTGCCGGAGGACGTCCGAGACCTCGCGCTGCGGGACGCGCAGTGGGTAGGGCCCGGCCCCGTTCCTTCCCGATCCTCACCCTGCTCAGCCCGGCTCCGGATCCGGCCCCACAAACCGAATGCTGTCCGAGCTGGGCTGGGACATGTCAGGGAAGGCAGCTAGATGCCAGTGCCGCCCGGTGCTTCCTGTCCGCTGGACATACACAGGGCAAGCGAGCGCATGTATAATCTTAAAAGACAGGCTGTATTAGTGCACCCAAATATTTTAATATGGACAGCGCTCTACGTATAAATAAGGCTTCAACGTTTTGTTTTCATACTAAGCTTTCAAATCTGATGGCTTATGTCTACAAAACATCCCGTGTGGTATTAGCTGTTTCTTAAGTGCTCACTTAATACAAAGTGGCTCTTGTATGGACCAGCGCAGGTTTACTGTCTGGTAGCAGGAATTCTCCAGGATACGGTAATCCTCGAAGTCAGTCACCTGGCTAGGTTTTGGGTCTTTGCTCTTGCTTGTTGCATCGTGTGAATGCATCGTGTGAATCGTGTGAATTGTTGCATCGTGTGAATGGAGCAGCAAAAGCCTTTTACTTTAAGTTGAAAATAGAAGAAGCTGTCTTGATGGAATTTTCCTAAGATCACTAGTTGAACTGGACATGGCAGTGCACGCCCAGCACTTGGAAGGCAGAGGCACGCAAATCTCCGAGTTCAAGATCAGTCTGGTCAGCACGGTGAATTCCAGACCAACCAGGGTGATATAGAGAGACCCTATGCCCCATACTCCATTGACCCTTATAACCCACTTCCCCTTTCACCTATGTTTTGCAAAACCTTGAAGATGATGGTTTCAGAGGAAGGACACTAGAAGTTGAGGGACTGCTGCCTCTCGAACAGATACGCAGTCCATATGTAGGGGAAACTTTCAGTCTGGGAATGTGGCACATTTGTGGCCAGATGACAGTAGTGCAGGATAAAAATAGAGGTTATCACCGCAAAAAACAAAAATGAGGAGGGGCTGGAGATGTACTTGGTGGAAAGTATTCTTGTGACATGCATGAGACAGGTTAAATGAAAGAATAAGGAGAAAACCTTCTTTGGATTGTAATTCTGTATTCCAGTTTTCTGTTATTCCCTTTTTGGAATCAAGGCAGGAGGAGAAACATTTTATAACATTTTTAGTAGTTCTTCTGGGAGACAGCTGTAAATAAGAGAACTGGTTTGTCTCATTCTAGAAAATTGCTAAGATATTCAGAACATCTACATACAGAAGACAACTGAGCCTTAACTTCTTACATCCTAGAGGATGAGCTCTTAGAATGGGAAGTAACACTTTGTAGCGGAGTTTTGACTATGATGATAGACCTCTAGGTAGAACTGAATAATAGAGCGGCACGTTCTTAATGATTGCTGAAGCCGCAGTGAGTGTTTCAAAGACAGTTTGTACTCTCATTTACTCTTTGAGAGTTTAACATACTAAGAATCTTTTTCTATGAGGTCTTTTTTCTCTCCTTTAGTGCATGGGATTGGATGCAGAGCCTTACACCATTAAAGTGTTGTTCGCAGAGCTGTATTGTAGCCCTTTTTATAATAGAATAGGGCATGAACTTTGACTCATAATTATCAGTCATTTACTATATAAGTGATACAAAAGACATGCTCATTAAAATTTCTCAAACCATAGCATGTATTAAGTCCTGTTTGAATTGCCCATCTGTCTGAACCCCTTCTGGAAATAACTCACTGTTTTGGAGAACACGGGGGGGCCTCAGCCTTCTGTCCTTCCTCACGGTTTGCCACTGTGTTCTTGTTCGTTTTTTTATGTGGCCACGCTGCTGAGTGGTCCCTGATAGAGCTGGCATACTCCCCACTGTGTGGTAAGAGCATTTAGCCTTCTCCTAAAGGTTAACTTGGATTTTATTTTTTTTCTCAATTTTCATTTTGTTCCACAGAGATTCCATTATTGTCTTGCTAAAATGTTTGAATTCAGTATTTAGAGTCACTTTTGCTGACTTGGCTGCTGTAAATTTATTGCAGACTTTTGAGTCCGCTGTTCAGGAGAATGTCAGCATCAAGGGACAAGCCTGGCAGGAAGCTACGGATATAGGTATGTGCCTAACTCTTCCTCTGTCATTAATTTCTGAGGTTGTTTTTGCAGCTAACTTTATTTTGAATGCTATTTTGTAATTTCTGTTTTCATTGTCTCTCCGTGGTTGTTTTGAATAATAATGGCCTTCATGGACTTATATGTTTGAATTCATAGTCACCAGGGAGTGGAACTGTTAGAGTAGGATTAGGAGGTGTGGCCTTGTTGGAGGAAGTGTGTCACCGGGAGTGGGCTTAGAGTTTTCAAAAGCCCATGCCAAGCCCAGTCTCTCTCTCTCTCTGCTTGTAGCTCTCAGCTACTTCAGTGCCTGCTTGCATGCCACCATGCTCCCTGCCACGATAATGGACTAAGCCTTTGAAACTGTAAGCAAGTCCCAGTTAAAGCTTCCCTTTATAAGGGTTGCCTTGGTCATGGTGTCTCTTCTCAGCAGTAGAACAGTGACTAAGACACACTCTCCTTCTATCAACATTTCATCTGTTGGATGGAGTCGTGCAGCCATGGCACCCTGTGGAGGTCAGAGGGCAGCTTTCAGGAGTTGTGGCTCCAGGAGCAAACTCGGGTCCTCGTTCAGGCTTGGTGGCAAGTGTTTTCACCTGCTGAGCATCTTACTGGCTTCAGTATCATTTATTTTAAAACACATCTAAATTACTGTGGAACGAAAGGAAGAAACTAATGTAGATTACTGAAGTCATAGCCCAAGAGAAGCTCAGTGGGTACCTTGATGTGTCCTGTCTGGTATCCTGAAAGGTCTTTCATCTTCAGATGCTTCTGTCAGTAGACTATTGGAAGTTATTGTAGAGAATACCTGTATTTCCTCATAAGCCAGGCTTTTGTTTTTGCAATGCTTAGATGATACTTAGAATGGACAGTGGTGTGTTCTGATGTGTCAAGTTAACCCGTGTGAGTGGTGTGCAGAGGGTGTTACAAATTTGTAGGCAGCATCTTAAGACTGTTAGTTTACTTCAAAGACTTGATTGTACCTTTGTTTTTGAGACAGGGCTTTTCTGTGTAGCCCTGACTGTCTTCGAACTCTGTAGACCAGGCTGGCCTCAAACTCAGAGACCCACCTGCCTCTGCCTTCCAAGTGCTGGGATCAAAGGCATGCGCCACCAAGCCTGCCTTAGACTTGATCATACCTTACTAATGGCGCTGACATGCCAAAAAAAGTGTTAACAGAAAGAGAAAGAAAGGTCAGAGTAGGAAGGAAACATCTGTAGAAAGGAGTGATCAGTTTGAGAAGAGAGAGGCTTCTCTGTATTTGCAGTACTGTCCAGAGAAGGGCGGCCTTGACAAGAGCCATGTGTGCCGTCTGTGCATCTGGTAACATCACTCAGGGCTGACACTGTTGATGACACTCACTGCTTTGTGTTCACATTGTCCGGTCATTTGAGCTGATTACAGGCCTCCCAGCAACTCTCTGTGACTGTAACTTCTTCTCAGCCATAAGAAAGGGCTCTGCCCAGAGTTTCTTGTCTATTACCTGAGACTATATTAGTTGTCTTTTACAATTACCAAAACAGATTTGGGGTTTACACATAAACCCAAACCAACAGCATCTGTTTTGTAAAATATTAACACAATAATTGCTGATTAATAGGGAATATATTTAAAAGTAGCCAGAAGTAATTTCTACACCATGTAGCTTTTCAGTGGGTCTTTATTTGAAACAAAATGTTACCCAGAAAGGCAGATGGAGTGAATGGAAAGCCGCAGTGAGCTGGGAAGTAAGAGCAGATGTGTCAAGAAAGCTAAGTTGAGCTGAGATTGCCACATGCCTCAGAGGCTTTGTAAGGGATTTGTACTTTATCACGTGGTCTTGGAGAAATCACAGGAGTGGGGGGGGTGTGCGTGTGTGCACGCGTGTGAGTGAGGGTGTGTGTGTGTTTAGTGCTGGTGAAGGAGTCTACAGACTCATGTCAAGCAAGCACTCTATCTGTCTTAGGGGAGAACTGTAAGGAGACTTATGTGAATAGGTTTGACAGGCTTTGCTCTGGGCAGATATAGGAAGCAAATGCAGGCTTCATGGGGGACAGAGGTTGAATCTGGTCTTTTTTGTTGTTGTTTTTATTGAGGTTTCCGACGAGCTCCTACCCCAGGACCGCTCTGGAACTAAGGTAGACCATATATGTGAGGCGGCCTCTTCCCTCCCATTGTGACTGCCCCGGATGGTTCTGGTCACAGGATGTGTGGTCAGACAAACTTAGAAGGGCAGTTCCTTGAGACCAGAGCTCTGCTTTTAGAAATAAATACACATCAAGCATTTGCCCTTTGTTTATACATTGTGCTTTTACAAATTCTACCGCTTGGTGGCGCTAAGAAACCATTTTCCTGCACAGAAGATGTCCCTGATGGCTGATCCCAGAAAGGTGCTTGCTATGCAAACCTGGGCAGTGGTGGAAGGAGAAAAGTGACTCCAGATTTGTTCTTTGACCTCAGCACGCATGCTGTGGCGCGTGTGCTCTCGCCCATCACACATAGTCCCTGATTTATCCACGGAGAGCACTGCTGTTTGCTGAGGCTCTGTGACCCTTCCAGTCCCTGGTTTATCCACGGAGAGCACTGCTGTTTGCTGAGGCTCTGGGTCCTTCCAGTCCCTGGTTTATCCTCGGAGAGCGCTGCTGTTTGCTGAGGCTCCGTGACCTTACAGTTTTCTGTCCCAAAGATGTTTCTCCCTGGCTCTTCATCACTCAATGTCTTTGTTTACACCTAGATTTCAACTTAAATGTTGTTTCTTTTGGGTCATTAACGCCTGCTGGTGGTGTTTCATTCTGTATCCTGTGTCTTTATAAACCTGTTGCATTTATCAGGTTACAGCTGTCTGTTTCTTGGGGTCATACTACATTCATCTTTCATTTCCTGTAGGTACTCAATAAGTGAGCAGTACAGAAATGAGGGGGCTTATTAGTTTGCCATGTTTGTTTTCTTTAATTATTTTGTGAATTGAATGTATATAATGTTTCTATACTAATATGGACTTTTCTGAAATAGATGCTGACATCAAAGTACTTGAAGATGAATTTGATGAGCTCATAGTAGATGTGGCAACAAAACGTAGGCAGTACCCGAGAAGGATCCTCGAGAGTGTCATCAAGACCTTGAAAGCACAGCACGAGAGTCTGGTGAGATGTTCACATTGAAGTCCTCACACAGTGTTTTACCTCAATAAAAAATTAGATTACCTTTCATATAGTACAGGCTGGCCGCGAACTCCTGATCTTCCAACCCCGAGCCCAAGTGCTGGGATTACAGCGTGCACTAACACACCTGGCTGGGATTACAGCGTGCACTAACACACCTGGCTGGGGTTACAGTGTGCACTACCACACCTGGAATGCTGGGGTTACAGCATGCACTACCGCACCTGGCTGGGCTTACAGCGTGCACTACTGCACCTGGAATGCTGGGGTTACAGCATGCACTACCGCACCTGGCTGGGCTTACAGCGTGCACTACTGCACCTGGAATGCTGGGGTTACAGTGTGCACTACCATACCTGGAATGCTGGGGTTACAGCGTGCCCTATCACACTTGGAATGCTGGGGTTACAGCGTGCCCTACCACACCTGGAATGCTGGGGTTACAGTGTGCCCTACCACACCTGGAATGCTGGGGTTACAGCGTGCCCTACCACACCTGAAATGCCGGGGTTACAGTGTGAACTAGCACACCTGGCTGGGGTTACAGTGTGCACTGCCGCACCTGGCTGGGGTTACAGTGTGCCCTACCACACCTGGAATGCTGGGGTTACAGCGTGCCCTCCCACACCTGGCTGGGGTTACAGTGTGCACTACCACACCTGGAATGCTGGGGTTACAGTGTGCCCTACCACACCTGGAATGCTGGGGTTACAGCGTGCCCTACCACACCTGGCTGGGGTTGCAGTGTGCACTACCACACCTGGCTGGCTCATCTTTCCAGGTGGGCAAAGTCGTAGGCCTGCTTTTCCTGTAGGTGCCAGTTACATGCTTGTCTTCTCAGTTTCAGACTGGGACAAATGCAGATAAGGCAAGCGCTGGCAGATTAGACCTGAGTCTCCTGGCTGTTGAGGAGATTTGCTGGGCTGGACTGCCCATCTTAATGACTATATGCGGGCTGTAGTTTGTGCAATCCTCTATACCTTCAGTTTTTCTTAAATCAGCGAGCTTTTTAAATGTGAGCCTTCCAGTCGTCCCTCCTTCTGCAGTGTTTCAGGGCATGAGAGGTCTGCAGTTGCTCTCAGCATCCAGAGTCACATGACGATGGGAACATTCCATCCGGCTCACAGCATTTGGCTTTAAACAGCCCTCGCTAGACTTCAGGAAACCCTGATGTGTGTTGACTGTCTGAAGAAAACCCTGCGACAGTGGGTGGGGGTGGAGAGAGAACTGAGAGCATTGGTTGGCCCCTCCTTCTTTTCACCCTTTGGCTCAGGTTACCATTGAGCGGAAAGTAGGATGGACATTTTCCTTCTCCCTCCGTTTGCCCGGCTCTGGGACAGCCAGCTGCCCTGTGTGCTGCAGGTGTGGACAGTAATGAACTGTGGGATAGTCTGGCTGTTTTTAAAAAGTTTCTGAGGAAATTGGAATTCTGAGTTTCAGACGTTTGTCTTGAGTGAACCTTCTGTCACACTTTGGTCACCGCCCTGTAATTTAGACACCACCATGCCTTCACTTTGTCTTTTCTGATTATAATCTTCATCATGCTATTTCCTCTGTATGCAGCAGGTGGCAGTACGTAAAAGGTGTTCAGAGCCAGGCAGTGGTGGCACACACCATTAATCCCAGCACTCTGGAGGCAGAGGCGGGCAGATCTCTGAATTCGAGGCCAGCCTGGTCTACAAAGGGAGTTCCAGGACAGCCAGGACTGTTACACAGAAAAATCCTGTCTCAGAAAACAAACAGCTAGGCGCTGGTGGCACATACTTTTAATTCCAGCACTCAGGAGGCAGAGGCAGATGGATCTCTTGTGAGTTTGAGACCAGCCTAGTCTACAAAGCTGGTTCCAGGACAGCCAGGACCAATCTACAGAGAAACCTTGTCTCGAAAAAGAGAGAGAGAGAGAGAGAGAGAGAGAAAGGAAACAAAAAGTTATTAAAAACTAAGGATATTTCCCCTACATAGTTCAGGATCTACAAAGAGAAGAGCCTTGGGGCTGACACTGTTGACTGTACTGACTGTACTGGTGTACTTGCTGACTCTAGCTGAAAGATGTGCCTGCCTATTTATCTGGCCGTCACCTGTCTAAATTAATGTTTGGATCTGTGCTGTGTTTAGAAGCAGTATCGGCCTGTTGTACATCCCTTGGACCTGCGATGCGACCCTGACCCAGGTAAGCCAGCTGGGTGTGTGTTGACAGTGAAGGGTCCCTGCACTGGTCCCCAGCTGTGTGACCCTCCAGTGTCACACACACAAATGGTAGGTGCTCCCGAGTGCGGCTGCACAGCTGTTGACTGTACTAACAGGAACTCAGTTCTCTTTCAGTTTTGCCGTAGGTTTCTTTTGTTGTTTTAGTTTTCTGTTTTCATGATTTCAGATTTTATCTTTAATGTGGTCCTCCTAGTTTTCTCCATTTTTGTTATGTCTAACTTCTTGAGTTGGCTCAGATACAGTTTTTAATAAATGCAGTGAAGGCCACAGTGGATGAGCCCTGCTTTATATTCAGGTTCTTGCATGTTTTCCAGTTTCCAATCCCAGTCCTCTCTTACAGGCCCGCTTTGCTCCTCCTGCTGTGTGGATGCACTGTTCCTTACTTTCTTACTCTTGTTTCCCAGTTTGGAAGAGGCATACTGTGTTTTTCCAGTCTCTGTTTAGAGTAGGAAGGCTCATCTCAGCCCTGGGTTTAAACCAGGGAATCTGACAATTCCCACTTTCTGCCCTGCTGGAGCACATTGGTTCCTTTCATTTTACAGAGAGGCAGATTTGCAGCTACTGTTCCCTTGCTAGGGTCTGCATAATGAAGCAGTCCTGGCCAGGTTATGCGTGTCGGTGCTCCAAAGAAGTCCTTCCTGCCAGCATCACCATGGCTGAGGGCTAGTCTCCTCCTCCCGACTCCAGAAGCAGCATCTAGTCTACAGCATTACCGTGTTCTGAGTTGGGGAACATGAGCCTGCAACAGGGTGCTTGGGTGAAAGGAAGCTGCTGTGGCAATGTTAGATGTGAATTTTTATGGTTACCGTCAAGAGGAAGAACTCTGAGGAATGAACTCAAGTCCATGGGACAAAAGAATTGACATATAAGATCAGATACTTGGCTGAGGCCAGATTAAAACCCTTGGGTTAAGACTTTGACAGGCCCAAGCGAGACTGTGTAGTTGGGTTTTGTTTGTTTGCTTGTTTTAACTTTTTTGGCTCTTTGACTCTTGGGGGCCCACCACTCAGCTCCCAAATAAATCACAGGCACACACAGTCACACACAGGCACACACAGGCACACACAATCACATACAGGCACACACAATCACACACAGGCACACATTATCACACACAGACACACACAATCACACACAGGCACACATTATCACACACAGGCACACACAATCACACACAGGCACACACAATCACACACAGGCACACACAATCACACACAGGCACACACACAAAGGCACACACAATCACACACAGGCACACACAATCACACACAGGCACACACAATCACACACAGGCACACATTATCACACACAGGCACTTACTATTGTTTGTGAATGCCCAGCTTTTGCTTGGCTTATTTCTAGCCAGCTTTCCTTAAATTTCCTACCTTTTGTGCCCCTGGGCTTTTTCCTTTTCTTAGTTCTGTTTATCTGACTTCACTCTTACTCTGTGACTGGCTGGGTGGCCCCTGGTGTCCTCTTCTCCTTGTTCTCTTGTTCCTCAATCTCTCTTTTTCTCCCTCTATTCTCTCTGCCTGCCAGCCCCGCCTATTCTTTCTCCTGCCTAGCTATTGGCTGTTCAGCTCTTTATTAGACCAATCAGGTGTTTCAGGCAGGCAGAGTAACACAGCTTCACAAAGTTAAACAAATGTAACATAAAAGAATGTAACACATCTTTGCATCTTGAAAACAAATGTTCCACAGCATAAACAAATGTAACAACTCTCAAAATCCTATTCCACAGCAAGATTGGCACCACAGTGCTGTAGAAGGGCAAGGTGCGTTGGGCACACAGCTTTGTAGCCTGTTTGTATTTTCAGCAGAAATGCTGACTTCCATCCTTATGACTCATGGCATGGGTGGCATTGGTTGCCTCCTCAGAAACTGATCCACGCTTGCTTATCTGTGCTCAGGAAGTACACTGGCATAGACGTGAGGCTGCCAGCTGATACATTTCTGCTGAGTCTGCAGGCTTGGGAGGTTCATGTTCCCTTGTTAGTCAAGCAGTGACCCGGAAGCAAAACTGGGTTCATTGCTCAATCTTTCATTTCCACATTTTCATTTCCCCGTGTTTTAGAAAGCCAGCAGCCAGGGAAGACTGTTCTCAGAGGTTCTGAACTTCCACATTTTGTAAGGGCAATTTTTCCCCAGCTATCCACTGATTAACTGTTTACCAATAAGATTTCATCAGGAGCAGCCTTGAAAAGCCCCTGAAATGAAGAGGTTCTTTCCCCATTACCCTGCCTTACACACAGAGTGATGGCAGAGATGTTTAGAGTTCTCCTGTAGTCGAAGCCTGGGTTCTAGGCTGGCCCTGCGAGCAGAACCTTCAGGCAGTCCTCGTTTCCTGGCGGTGCTGTCTGGCCTCAGGCACCACGGAGCAGTCTGTGGTAGTGCTCACACGGTTCAGGGCTCACATTGCTGTCTGGGCTGCAGAACTTTTACTCTAAAGAGGAAAAGACTTTATTTTGGAGATAATATGAGTGACCATGGCTGGGGAGTGCAGATTTAGGTTACTGCAAATTTCTTTGTTTCTTTTTTCGAGACAGGGTTTCTCTGTAACTGTCCTGGAACCAGCTCTTATAGACCAGGCTGGCCTTGAACTCACAGAGATCTGCTTGTCTCTGTCTTCCAAGTGCTGGGATTAAAGGTGTGCACCACCACCTCCCGGCCCTACTTCAGGTTTCGTATTGCTGTGTGCTAATGGTTTCGTGGAGTTTTACAGTAGCAATAGAGAGAATCATTAGCAGGGCTATCTATTTGAGCATTGGTGGAAGTGTCAGGCCGGTGGTAACAAAGAAGCTGTCTGGACAGCGTCGTTTATCTCTCGGTTGATGCACTTCAAAGGATTTATCTAATGGCCACAAAGATGTAAGGTCGCTCACAAAGGTGGGCATACCTGGTGGGAAGGGTGGTAAAGATGGCTCAGATAATTTGGCTCTGGACTTGAAACACTATCCTTTCCCGGTTGTATTAAGTCCATGAGCCTTAGAAGGCTCCCTCTGAGGTGTGGATTGGTCAGAGATGTTCCTGTGGAGGCTGTGGGGGAGGAGGTAGAGGACGCTCTGGGGAAGCCCACCATCTCTCACACGGACTAGGAGACTTCCTCAGGCAGCGTTCCTGTGTTCTTCCCAGTTATAAAACATGGCAGATGCACTTAGGATCATTGTGGTCAGGGAGCAAGAAGCTTCCTGCTCTGGGATTTCTTCAGGTATTCATGTTGGGAAATGATGTTTTTAACTTCCTAAAAATTTTTATGGTGTGTGTTTATGCACACACACATGTGCGTGCTGTAGTATGTGTGTGGAGGTCAGAGGACAATTACAGAAGTCTCTTCTCTCCTTCTACTACATGGGCTCCAGGAATCAAATCAGGTTGTCAGGACTGGCAGCAAGTTCCTTTTCCTGCTGAGCCATCTTACCAGCCCAGAAAATAAGTTTTATGTCTCTACAGTAGATCCACATTTTTTATGAGCTTTGCTTCACTTGGGATGGCCTGGGATGTGTGGCCTCTTGCTGTTGCCTTCTGGGTGCTGAGATCCCAGGTGTCTGTCTCCTTTTTGTTAGAGGTCATTGTGAGGTGTGTGTGCTTTCTCCCTTTTTGTCTTTAGTTTTGAAAATATTTCTTTGGTTCTATTCCTAGAATTATTAATAACTTGAGTTTTATCTTGTTTGTTTTTGAAACACTGTGTGTCTTTGGCTGGCCTGGAACTCACTATGTAGACCAGACTTGCCTCAAATTTAGAGAGACCCATGACACATCCTGCCTCCCAAGTGCTGGATTAAAGGCGAGCACTGTCACATACTGCAGGCACCTTTAGTTTTGAAGGCAAAGGATTCAGTTTACTTATTTAGAAAAGAAGAGGTACCGTAAATTCATAGTTAAACATTTAGTTTTAGGATGGTATCAGGAAACCCATTCTCCTGATGCTCAGTCTTTCCCAGTTGTGAATGTACATCTTTGGGTAGACAGTGTGTGATTTCTGGCAGGGTGGTATTTAGGGTGTCACGTTGGATTCCAGATGTGAGTTCTAACTCTCCAGTTGCAGTTCCCCTTCTCAGGTTGTCTGTGAGAGGCGGCCATGAGGCCTGCTCTGACAGGATGTGCGGTAGCTGCAGCAGAACAGGCTTCAGGGAGTCTCTCCCCGCTCTGCTCTCATCGGAACTTCCTCAGAAGACTCATCACACATACCAGCTTCACTTTTTGTTTTGTTTTGTTTTTGAAACAGGGTCTCTCTATGTAGTCCGAGCTGTCCTGGAACTCCCTCTGTAGACCAGGCTGACCTCGAACTCACAGACATCCACCTGCCACTGCCTCCTAAGTGCAGGGATTTAGGGTGTGCCACCATGCACACCCTAAATTAGGTTCACTTAATCTTCTCATTGCTGTAGAAAACTATCAGTTGGGTTTTTACGCTATGACATCCTTCAGTGTGAGCTGTCACTGCAGCCCTTCTGACGTGACAGTTGCTTCTCCCTGCATTCCATCCCATCTCTCTGGCTTCCTCCCAGAACTGTGAATCCGTGAGTGTGGCAAACACGAGGTTCTCCATCTTCCTATTCCAGCCTTCACCAGCTGCCCTCTCCTGCTGCAAACCTTCATCCTGTCTGTCCTTTTCTCATTATCCTGGAATTTCCTCACTTCTGTTGCGGATTGTCTTTCCTGGTTCTGATATATTTCCTTATTTGGGTAAAGTGTGTCCTATCCTCTGACCCTGTCATCGTCAGTCCATTTGGCACCAGGTCCCTGTGAGTTGGTGTCAGCCTCTTTGATTAAGGAAGTGCCCGGTGCCATGGCTGTGCGCTGTTATAGCTTTTGAGTACCTGCTCTCAGGTACTGGGGTCACCACTAGATTAGATCCCACCCTTAGAGAACAGTCCTCCTCCCAGGAGAGGCCAGGCTTCTCATTGGTGTACATATTGCCCTCTAGTGGCCCTTCTGAAAAAGTTGGAGGATGTTTGGGGGTAAGGGATGGTGTAATTTGTAAAATTTGTAAAAGGGATATGTAGTCATGCCAGAAATACTAAATGCCTTATGTGTCAGGCCCAGTTTTAGGATATCCCCATCATATACTTGTGTGTGATAATCTAAGTATGCAAGCCTAGAGCCTAGCTCCATTTTACACTCAAGCCCAAACCCCTCTTGGGCTTATATGTTGTCATTGCTTGTACAACAGATTAAAAACAGGTATTGTTTGGCATTGGGAAGACAAAGATGAAGAAAAGGTGGCATGGGGTATTTGGGAGCTGATAGAACTCATTCTGTAAGCTAAGTTCTTACTTAAGGAGCCTAGAGAGAAGGTTTTGCTCAGGCCAAGGAGAGTGGCTGCTGCTGCTAACAAAAGCTCCAGCAGCAGTAAAGACTGTGGCTGCCTTGTTCACACAGAGAACTAAGAGTCATTGTTGCAAATATGTTTGTTATAGAATGACAGAGTATACAACTTGATGAAATTATGTATCCGTACATGTGTATATAACCACCACCATCTAGATATGAGTGTCTGGTGGCCAGAAACATGGCAAACATTTTAAACCTTGTTAAGCTGTGCCTATTATGTTTTCATGTATACAGGGAATACAACAGTTTCCATAAATCCTGGAATCATGATGAAAATAGTCCATTGCATTTCTTCATGTCAACTATTGAACCTATTTCTTAAAATTTAGAAGTATTTTATCTGGGAGAAAGTGAAATGAGGAATAAGATGTATCAGAAACACCCCCAGAAACCTGAAGACCTTCTGATATGCTTGCCTGGCAACCAAGTGTTTAACACATTGGCCTTCTAGATCCACTGGAATGTTCTAGATGGTCACTTACTGAGAACTTTAATGTACACTACTCTCATGTTGGATTGGTTACCTGTGGTTACTTACAGCTAAAACAATAAACTATCCCTGTGATTTCTGGGTTGTTAACCTGGTAGAAGTGACTTTAGTTCCACCCAGCATGGGCCTCTAAGCCTTCTGCCACCTCTCAACTTGCTTCTCCCAATGTCATGACAGAGCGTGCCCCCCGCCCCCCATGACTGTGGAAGTGGCTGTTAGAGCGGTCAGGTACCAGTCATGCAGAGGGAAAGGGCTGCATGCGCACAAGTGTGCACACTGCAGTGGGCTCTTGTGGACCATGGTGAAGGTGGCTCATGCACACAAGGATGCTAAGGTGTTGTTGCGGTGTTGGGGTTCTCTGGATTTGAGAGAGAGACGGTATTACCAGGGAGGCCTACAGCCTGCGGTCTGGGTAGTTCTGTGGCTGTCTCCTGACGGAGAGGCCAGGCTAGCCATTGACTCAGTTTCCACTCTGTTGCTGGGGTCCCAGGGAATTCGGTTGCACTGTTGGTCTTCAGTCTGCACTGAAGCCCTAGAGTTCAGAATCATTTAAAAATAAAGTCTTAGCCTGTGCTTGTCTTAACTTGATGTACAGAGGGGTCAGCTGCAGGAATGTGTATAGAACAGATGTCAGGTGTTCTTGGGGTACAGCGGGAACTGCCCTGCATCCAGCCTGTGTGCACACCTTTGAATTGCACTCTGCTGTTCTCCTGGTCCTCTTATTTGTCTTGATAAATTGGACAGGATGTTGACTTCAGTAGATTACAAAGTACTGTAAGAAAAATGAGACTAAGGTGAACAGTCCTGACCGATTCCAGCCTGGATTGCATCTTGGTGTCTTTATGATTGCAGTCCTGACAGATTCCAGCCTGGATTGCATCTTAGTGTCTTTATGATTGGCTAATTAGATAAAGACCCTAAAATACTGTTTGGTGGTTTCTTCCAGCTTCTCATGTGGAAAGTTTGAAATGCCGAGGGGACGCCATAGCTAAGAACATCAGTGACGCCATGAAGGTAAAAGCTGTGCTGTGTATGTAGAGTGGAAAAGATGGTGCTTGCTGTGGGTGCCAGGCGTGTCTGGGCTGCAGGAGGGTGCTCAGGAGTCTCTTCCGTGGCTCAGAGTGTGTTAAGCAGCAATAACATTCAGAGTTCCATTTATCAGGTGCCTACTGTGTGCCACATACTCTACCTAGCTGGTGCTTACCGCAAGCTGTGTACCCCTGCTTTCTCTAGTGAGATTATACTTTCTGAGCTGTGCCGGGATGACTGTTGGTGACATTTACAGAGCATGTTGTAGTAATATGAGCAGCGGGGCTGCGTCCCCAGCACCCCAGCCGCCCACATGGCTAGCTTATGCCCCAAAATAACAACACACAAACTGTATTCTTTTAAACACTGCTTGGCCCATTTCTATCTAGCCTCTTCTAGGCTAACTCTCACATTAATTTAGCCCATTTCTAATCATCTGTGTTGCACCCCAAGGTGCGCTTACCGGGAAGATTCTAGCCTACGTCCATCCTGGGTCGGAGCTGAATCTTGTCTGCCTCAGAGAGCAGAGCTATCACGTCTACCCAGGAGAGGGGAGCATGGCGTCTCTCTGAGGTGTTTGCCCCCGAGAGGAGAGCTGTGGAGTCTGAGCTCACTTCCTCTTCCTCCCAGCATTCTGTTCTGTTTACTCCTCCCACCTATGTTTTAACCTATGAGGGCCATCCAAGCAGTTTCTTTATTTTTTTAACCAATGACCTTCCTCCATCAGCATGTGGTGTCTGTTCTACGTCTGCTGTCACACTAACCCCATAGGATAAGTATTTTAACCCCTGAATTATAGACAGGGAAACCGAGGCATTAAGAGCCTCTATCATTTGCCCAACCAGGTTCCTGAACCCAGCTCTGGCTTCAGAGCTTGTCTGTTGTCGTCTCTGCTTTCATGCCAAGCTCGGACCCAGGTCTGGCACATGGTGCCCGAGCTGTGTTCTAGACATGGGACATGGGATTTGCTCTTCGTCACTCTAGTTATTACACTACAGCTCAGTCACCTCAAGGTCATCCTAACATGGTTTCTACTGGGACATTTATTTTACCTAAACATAAAAATAAATTCCTGGTACATGGAAATGATTTTTAAACTTCACTGCCTCCCTAGTTCTGATGGCCATGTTCTGTGGCATTATTTTTGGTTTGTATGGATTCCATGTTTTTCTGATAGTTGATTATCTTTTGCTTTCATCCTATTCTTGATTCAGAGTTGGTGGATTAAGCTTGCCCTATTTTTATAAACAAAACTTTATTGGAACAGAGATGGAATCATTCATTTACTTCCTGTGTGTTGTTTCTTTTATGTTCTAGATAGACTTGACCTAAAAAATTGCAGTGCAGCATGTCCGTGTCTGTGTATTCCGTTTCTTTGTCTTATATTCACCTTTGAACCTGATACTTTCCTTCCCAAGGCTTTGCCTGCATTAATTGAACAAGGAGACGGCTTTTCCCAGGTCTTGAAGATGCAGCCTGTCATCCAGCTACAGAGGATCAATCAGGAAGTCTTTTCCAGCTGTTGCAGGAGAGCAGATACCAAGCCCGACAAGTCTGTAACACAAATAGAAACCACGCCGACCGAGACTGCAGCCAGGAAAGCCTCGAACATTGTGCTGAAGAGAAAGCACGCCCCGTTGGACTGCTCTCAGAGAAAGCGCTACCCGCTGCGGCTAAAGAAAATCAATTTCGATGGATAAGCTGTGGGTTGGGGAATTGAAGCCAGTGCTCTCAGCGTTTGGGTCACAATCTGCTGCGCGGGGGATGTCACTTCAACTGCCTGTGACTCTCTGCAGGCACAGTGCTCTACTCTGCTTGTCCTGGGCTGTGGTGGGTTCTCTACGCCCTTGATCTCCTTCTGCGCTAGGTAAAAGCCTTTTGAGGATTGCACAGCCCTGCCCGTGTCCTCAGATGCCATCGGTCCCTGCAGCCTTGCAGCTGCTGAGGCCTCGCAGGGGTGTGGGCTGATGCCCTGGGGTGGTTCTGCACGGCAGTGTGTGCATGGCTAGTTCAGCTCATAGGTGAGCGCACCGAAGATGGGCCTGGCCTTGGCTCTGTTCCGTGGGCAGTTAATTTACAGTTTTAGGGTTTTGTTTTGTGAGAAAGGAGAAGGCTATTATTTATGCAGGGAATATTCTTAAAAAGCAAACCTGAGGCTGGAGCCTCTGTTTCTTGCCTATACTTTCATGTCTGTAGGTTTTTTAATATAACTTGACTGGGAACTGATAGTTTCTTTTAAAGTCTTCGTTTCCAAATAGATCCTTCCAGTTCAAAGTATACATTAGGATTGTTTGTCCTGCCATGTACAGCAGATCTAGGCCGAGTGAGCTACCCCTGTTAAGGGTGTTGGTATCTGACATAGTGTCAGACTTAAAAGGGTCTCAGCAAACTTACTCTGAGATTTAGCCACAGCCTCTCAGAGCCGACATTGTGTCTCACACGGTGCGTTGTAGATAGGGCCGCTAGCTTACCACCTGTTTCCTTTTTGGGTGATTATACACTTTTGTTCGTTTCCAGAGGAATGTACGAAGGGCTTGGAAATTCTGTATTACTCTTGCTTGGTATGTCCCCATGATCATACACATCTAGGTTTGTCTGGTTTTCTCATTTGAAAAAGCCTTATGGTGAGGCCATTTATGGAATCTTTAGATTCTGTTTTAGTGTTCCTACAGAGCAATGTTTTTGTTTTGTGTTTTAAAATAACATATAAAGACCAAATTCCTGGGTCGTGCTCTCTCCAGCTAACAAAGCATTCAGGTGCCAGCCTGCACCAGACAGCAGGTCGGCACTCCGCGTTCTGAGTGAACTGACCTTTGCCTGAGAATCACTGGTGACTTCAGGAGGTGGCTGCTGTTGTGTGATTGATCTTACTTCAGAAGTTCCCAAGTAGGCAAGGCTGGGCGGCAATGCTGGTTCCCATTGGGCGAGTGCTGTAGGACCCAATGGGAACATTGGAGGCGTCCCGCTGGGTGGCTCTCAGGATCTGAGGCTGCACCAAGAGGAATTTTGAGTGATTCACAAATGTCTGGCATGAATGTGACTTGACCTTGGAGAGGTGACCGGGGCCACCTCGGTGGAGGGTTGTCTTCCAAGGGAGCATTTGTTAAGGCCAAGGCGCTTCTGCCTATGGTAACTTAAGGTGTTTGAGTGTTTGTGTCGGGAGAGGGGGTACTGCTGTCATCAGTGAGCTGATGCTGCACCTACCCCAGACCAGTCATCCTGAGGCAGAGAAGCCTGTTGAGGGGTAAGGTGGTGCGGCTGTTGCGCCATTCCGACCCATCTGGGAAGCGCTATCAGTACTGGCGTGCGACTGTTGTGGCATTCTGCCTGTTTATACCCTGTATGTGTGTCCTTGCCAGCCTGGGCTGCCTGGCAATACCGTGTGTGTGTGTGTGTGTGTCCATCCATCAGCCTGGGCTGCCTGGCAATACCGTGTGTGTGTATGTGTGTGCGTATGTGTGTGTGTCCCCGCCAGCCTGGGCTGCCTGGCAATACCGGGTGTGTGTGTGTGTGTGTGTATGTATGTATGTGTCCATCTATCAGCCTGGGCTACCTGGCAATACTGTGTGTGTCCCCGCCCAATAGATAAGACTAATGTGACCAAGTCTTAGCTGTTGAGTCTAGAATTTGCTTCTAATGCTAGAAGGTTTTACAATAAAGTTTGAATTCAGTGGTCATTTTCATGTGTGTTCCTTTATACCACGTATACTCAGTGACTCTGCAGTACTTGGGGCTGGGTGGGGATCTTCCGCCTGTGCATGCAACCACTTCCCACCTGTCTGGTGTGCTCCTTCCACAGTGTACAGTCCTGCCTGTCTACCATGGGACAGTTCGCGAGTCAGGCAAGGGGCTGGAGATTGAAACACACACACAAAACAGAGACATGAGTCATCCTTGAAACAAGAATGTCCCTTTTGCTGTGTTCCAGGGCAGCTTACATAGGGGCTCTCCTTGACTAATGGCCACGCCCTAGCTCTCAGGATTTTTCAGCTGCAAGCCCATCAGAAACCACTCCCCTGCCATCAGGAACCCAGGAGGGTCTCGTGCCCAGAGCAGCTGCAAGCACAGGAAAACAAGTTGTTTACTCTGGTAGGCAAGGGGTCACAGAAAATTCAGGGTCTGAGGGTCTGCAGTCCCCAACACCACAGGACATCAGTGGTAGCTGAGAACCCCTTAGTGGAGTAGTAGGATCTCAGGGAGACAGTTCCCTGCACTTTGACCTTCTGAGGGAATGTGGGCGTTGAAACTGGGGCTTTGGCAATTTCTGTGGAATCAAATGTTTGCAAGAAATGGCGTCATCTATTTCTAGAGCATGAAGAAATTCGTAAACAAACACCTCCTGCCTGGGGTGACGACTCTGTCCCCAGGCCAACCCCAGCACCCCTGGGCTTGCCCTCCTTGGGATACCAGTGGCTTCAAGCTGGGGTCTCCAGTGGAGTGAGACAGGATGTCAAGGTAAGGTAGCCAGGGGCCCATAACCGGCTTCACCTGGTGTCATCTGTGAAAATGGCTCCCCCCACAGAGATCTCACCCAGTGCTGCATAAGACTGCTCAGTACAGCAGCCCAGTATCTGAATCCTCAGAAAAGATGAACTTCCTAATGAAATTCCCTTTCTCTGAAATCCGATGAAAATGTTATGCGAACAGATTTGCTCTAGCCACTAGGTCTCCTGCTCATCAAAATAAAGGATGGCTCAAAAGACCGCCAGCAGTGCCAGGTGGGGGAGGGGCTTAACAGCGCGAGCTGGGCTGGGGATTCAGCTCAGTGGTACAGGGCTTGCCTGACGGCTCGCGCTGAGCTCAGACAATAGCATTGTTTAAGCAGCATATGAATAATAATGATATTTATATCGGCCTTGTTATGTTGTCCAGGCTGATCTTTTGGTGTTTTTGTTATTCTTTTTTTTTTTTTTTTTGGTTTTTCGAGACAGGGTTTCTCTGTGGCTTTGGAGCCTGTCCTGGAACTAGCTCTGTAGACCAGGCTGGTCTCGAACTCACAGAGATCCGCCTGCCTCTGCCTCCCGAGTGCTGGGTTTGTTATTCTTGAGACAGGGTCTCGCTGTGTAGCTCAGGCTGGCCTCAAACTCCACATCTTCCTGTCAGCCTCCTGAGGGGTTGTTACATGCCTGTGCTAGCCGCACTCTAGCCTAAGGATGATCTCAGTCTCCTGGACTCTAGTTATCCTCCTGCCTCAGCCTCCCAAGTATCTGGGAACACAGGCATGGTTGCTGTATCTTGCTAGAATCCTCTGGACCCATTGTACAAAAACAGATTTTTTTTATAACCATTTCAATTTGTGTTTTTGTTTTTGTTGATTTTATTAGGAGACAAAGTCTCATTCTGCAGCCTGAGCAGACCTGGAGCTCACTATATAGCCGAGGCTGGCCTCAGACCTTTGGTGATGCTTTGATGTAGTCCTCTGAATGCTGAGAATGGAGGTGTGTGTCACTCAGTGTTTACAGGTCTAGCCTGGGGTAGTGTTCCCTACCAGGTAAAGACATGGCAGGTAGAGTCAGCCAGTGGAGAAAGACTCTTTATTAGAGGTGAGGGCCCACACAGCAAGGCACACAAAGACACTCTGCCTTGTAGAAGGGGATTCCTGAGCCCCAAACCCAGTCTTCCCTTGAGGGGCTCTAAGGGCCTTTGAGGGGCCTTCAGCCCCTAAGTTAGGGCCAGCCAATATGAACAAATTCAGGGAGCTGATAGGCCCAAAACTTCGAAGTAAACATGTCCCGATCTTTCTGACCAGTCTACGGCAGGGGCAGCCCACTGATGGGGAGAGAGCCCACCAGGCCTTTGGTCAGGAGTGTGAGGAAGGGGCTAGGCGTTTGCCATCTTGATAGCTTTGTGGCCCCTCTTTCTACCTAACTCCTACCAGGGATCTGTCCAACTCCTAGTCCCTCACCACCACACCTGAAGACCTGTTTTCAATTTTCTGGTATTAGGGATCAAAGCCAAGGCCTTGGGCACAGTGAGTGGGCACCTGCCTCTGAGTTCATTTCTAGTTTGTGCTGCCAGTTTATTCACTGAAGGGGCAGCAAGACGCCAGTGGTTCCCACACACTGCTTTCTTCCCCCATGTGCTGAGATCTCTCATCCTCAGAACCTCTTGGGGATGGGCAGCATCACCCGCACTGTGATGGCGAGGAGATGGAGCTGAGAGAGGCTAAGCCCCTTGCCGCTGTCCGGCAGGCAGCTGAGCAGGCCCAGAGAGGTCTGGCCTAGTCAGGTCTCAGATGTCCCCAGTGATGCATCACGGGACTGTTTTGTCTTATTTCTCAACAATACAAACCAACATACAATGACAAGTTCTGAGTTTCCTGGGCCTCAGGCATGGCTCATATAAAGCAGTAGAGGCATCTGTGAAAGGAAATGGTTGTTTAAAACAGGTCGTGTGTGTTTTGCTGTCTGTGGCTCGGGGTCTACCAGCCACCAAAGCCAGGCTGGCTGCATTGCAGGATGTGAGGAGTCACTCGTTACAAGAAACTCTGAATCACTGAACTGATTGAAGGTTTCGAAGTGATTTCCAGACAAGTGGGCCATCACACTTTAGGAACAGAGCAAGCCTCCCATTTAATCCGTTGTCTATCGAGGTTTATGCTGGGGTTAAGTCCCACGAAGCCTCAGAATTCAGAAGAATCGCTATAGCAGACGAGAACCTGACTCATAAGGTCCGAGGGTAAACAAGTTAGCTCACAGAAGTCTATACCACGTTTATTCTTCCCATGCTCTCAGCGTCCCCTTTCGATGCTTCTCCTCAGTGTTCCTCTTTTGATGTTCCTCGCTGTTCTTCCCATCACACAAGGTTTCCAGTTTATAGACCCACACAGACATAGGTAACAATTCTCTGGTAAATAACAGTGATATCAAGCATGCATTCCTTAGGACTAACAGGATGGATAAGACTGACAAAGTAGGCGCCTTGTGTCTCAGAAGGGGCGTGGCTGTGGAGCTCCCCAGCAGACACTGGGAGGATTAGGATGGAGCTTGCCTCCCCCCTCCGCACCATCCCCCAGGCTAAGCATCAGGGTGCTATATCCACTGGCACCCACGTAAGAAGGAATTTCTTTCTCTGGGGCTGGTTTAGCAACCCAAGCTTTTTTTCTGTATATTTTAGGAGTAAAGGTACAAAGAGTTAATTTTCTCAACTAAGACCTTGTGTCACATGAGAGGTGAAGGTAAGTGCAGAATATTGATAGCTTGTTAGGGTAGAGCAAAGGCCAGTGGGTTACACTCTCTGAGCTGGCTGTTAGAGAATTCAGAGCCACCTAGACCTTTCTATCGGAAAGTGCAGACATACTGTCTTTCCCCTTCAGTGCTCCTGCTCAGGGCTCCTTTCCTGTCAATAAGGATAACTGTGGCAGACTAACTTTGTGTAGATTTGTCTATGAAACAAAGTTTTGGCTGAGTGAATGCTTTCACACCAGAGCCCCACGGTGAGGGAAGAGTCATCCAGTTGCCTGTATAGGGAGAAATCTCAATGATTTCTTCCTATACTTATACACTGCTGGGGTATTTTGTGATGAATCCCATTATGGAAGGGAGAAGAGCCATGGCTTCATAAGATCTCTAAAGAATTGACGGTGACTATCCAAAGACAGGTGCTCCCGAGCTCTGCAAATCGGTTCCTCGCTACTTCCGTGAGTCTGTCTCATGAGCTGGCAGCTGTTCTTTACTGTACAATGCTTGTGGCTCACAGCAATTATCCTTTCTCTTCAGAGAAACTAAATTTCTAGCCATCATTTTAGCGGACTGCTGACCATCGTTACCAGTCTTCCAAGTACATTGCCTTGAGAACATCATGCCGACTTTTGTCCACTTCCTGGGTTAAGCTTGCCGGGGCAGTCTTGGGAACTGTGAAGGCTGGCTGGCACGGGCCCTGTCAGATGCAGTACGAGCCCCGCATCCCGCCTCTCGCCCGGTCTGACACCGAAGACCCAGGCCTGGTGGCCTTCTCACGACTCCTCACTTCAAGACTATTTGTAAAGTTTTATTTTTACGTGTCTTGCTCACATGCATGTGTGCGCAGCATGTGTGTGCAGTGTCCACAGAGCCAGAAGAGTGGGTCACAGCCCCTGGAGCAGGAGTTACAGGTGCTTATGAGCTTCCATATGGGGCTGGGAACGGAATGCAGGTCCTATGCAGTAGCAGCTTACCTCTGAGCCGTTTCTCCAGCCCCACTCCGTTCTGTTAGATCACAGGCCCACCCAGACTCAAAATTGGGCCAGGCAGGTGTAGTTTTGTGGTTTTTTTTTTTTTAACTCTTTGGGGGCCCCACAAGCTCTCCCCCAAAATTACACAGAGACTTATTCTTACTTATGAATGCCAAGCTTAGCTTGCTTCTATCCAGCTTTTCTGACTTAAATTATCCCGTTTCTCTTTAACTACATTTTGCCTCTGGGCTTTTTACCTTTCTTTATTCTATGTGTCTTTCTTTCCTTCTTACTCCACAACTGGCTGGGTGGCTAGCCCCTAGTGTCCTCTTCTCTCTCCTTCTCCTTTTCTGGCTCCTCGCTCTTCTTCCCTAGTGTTTTCCTCCTTTTTATTCTCTCTGCCTGTCAGCCCAGCTCTCCTTTCTCCTGCCTAGCTAGTAGCCGTTCAGCTCTTTATTAGACCAGTCAGGTGTTTTAGGCAGGCAAAATAACACAGCTTTATGGAATTAAACAAA